ACTATCCTAAATTTAAAGATTCATTTCACTTGAATTAACATATTAATTAAATTTATTTATATGTTTTGGACATATTTCAAAACATAAAATTTCTTTTTCCATTTTTTTACTTAATCTTTTTTAAGATTTTCGTTTCATAACTTTCATTTAATAAATTTATCTTAAAGTCTAATTATTTTCACCAAAAATTTATTCAGGTTTAACAACAAGTTAATAAGCATAAAATAATTTTAGAAGAATAGCTTTTATAATTTAATAATCTTTTTCAACACTTAATTATTACAATTTTCTTTCTATTCTACTTAAAAAATCATCAAATCTATTTAATAAAGCTTTTAGAATTAATTTAATCTCTTGTTTAGATAAATATTATAAATGTATTATTTAATATAAAACAAATTAAGCTTAATTAAAGTATGTTCTACTATCAATCTTATTTAAAAAATATGATTCATCTAAATATAATAAAAAATCACTAAATTTTTAAGCACATACATCATAATGAATAGAATGGCTAAATACTTAATTATTTGATATTGTATAATTCTTTAGTAAATTATCTAAACCAGTAAAATATGGTTTTAGTAAAGCATAATTTTATATCATTAATTTAATTCCCTTTGGAAATTATAATAACATATGTTCAGGTCTAACTTCAATACATTTTTTTAAAATTGGTTCAGCAATATCAGCATCATTCATTAAAGCTACTATCAAATAATCTCCAAATTAAAGAGCAATAGAGAGTTAATTATCAAATAGTAATTCAATTAATTTTAAAACTAAGACCCTTATATTTTTATTTGGATGTAAAATATGTTATTAAAATACTACATTAAATATATCCTTAATCATAAATGCAAGCTAACTTTTATCTACTATCTAACTAAATTATTATTTCTAAGCTTAATTATTTGCTTCTAAAATTGATTCATAAAATATTTAATAAATTGCTATTATTATAGGTTCTTAAAAAGTGTTTTCTTTCAAATTTTCTTTCAAAAATTCACTACTTTCAAACATTAATTAAGGCAATTTCTCCCACATCTTAGATAATGTAAAAATAATCTCTTCTTATGCAGCCTTTTCTTTAGAAAATTCAAGTAAACTATTATATAATGTTTACATAGATTCTAAAAAAGATTCTATATCTTTAGTAGTTTTAGTTATAAAATATTCAAAATATTCAAAAATTTAACAAAATCCAATTAAACCAAATTAAAAACTAACAGGATTTTCTTCAGCTTTTACTAAAATTAATTTCATAACTATTTCAAATTTTGAATAAATATTTTCATATTTTTTTGTATATCTTAAATCTAATAATGTTGATAAAGTAAATATTGTCTTAACAAATGCTGTTTTTGGATGAATTTTATATATAATCTTTTCTATAAAAATAATTAAGTAATCAAGTTAATTTGTTAATTTTTTAGTTAATTAAAAAGAAATTTTATCATAATTTCTTCTACCATTAGAATTAAGATCTTCTAGACAAAAGACTAAAATTTTAAACAATCCATTTAGTATATTTACAAAAGGAGTATCGAGAGATTCTTCTTATTTATTCAAAAAATAAGATGTAATTTACATAATATTATCAATTTATTTAATGAAAGTTTATTATTAAGCATGATTTTTTTAATTTATTATGATTTAAATCAATTTTAAAACATTTTCTATTTAATTAATTTATTACTTAGTTTCTTTAACATCAATACAACTATTTGAAAGTTAAATAAGTCTCAATATAAATGAATGTAAAATTCCTTACTTATCAATAATTTTATTATTGTCAGACAATTTATCTATTAAACTTTATATTCTATCATAATCTATTTTATAATTATTAGTCTCAATAGTTAATTCTAAAATTTTATCTGCAATTTCTTAATCTCTATGTTTTGAATCTGTAGCTAAAAGTAATAATATCAATTAGGCTGAAATTTCTCCAATTTCTCCTTTTTCTTCTAATCTTTTTGAGACTTCTTCAAAAAATCTGATTTGATCATTAGATTATAATTCCTTAAATAAATCAATAAACTCTAAACAATATTTAATTGTTTTAGTTCTAACAAATATTTCAATATCTTGCATTCTATTAATAATAATGTCAAGACATGTGATTTTACATTCTTTCCATAATTTCAATAATGTTTATACTATCATTGCTCTAATTTATTTAGATATATCTTATGCTCTCAATTTTATCCTTTCAATTATATTTTAAGTATTAAATAAACTAAATTCTAGTATTTTAATAATATATTTTACAATAATTTTTTGGAATTTGCATTTTAGCTACCTTTAAACAATAATTTTCAAATTAATGTAGTACTTTTGCTCTAACCTAAATAGAATTATCTTCAAAAAAAGCTAATAAAATTAATTCAATATTTTAATAAGTTTAAAATAATTATTGGAATAATATACTCATATAAGAGAAATACCATAAATACATATGTATATCTTATAATCTATTATAATCAATTTACATTTATTCTAAAGATTAAGCAATTTCATCTAATTTTTATATGCTAATTGATTTTGATTTTTTATTTTGTTTTCCATTATGTAAACTTTAAGTAATAAGATAATTTTCAAAATAGAGTTTCATCCAATTATTATTACTTTTGCATGCATGACCATATGTTATAGTAGGTAAATATACTTAATCTTCATAATTATTACTTAATTATAATTAAGTACAAAAACATCCTTTGCAGCATTCAATTAACTTTTCTTTCTTTTCAGTTTCAGTTTCAATTAATTAATACATTTTTTAATCTTTATATTAACATAATAAACAATCTCCATCAGGTAATTATTTTATATCATAAAAATTGAAATAAAAATTAATCTAATATAATCTATCTGCATTATATAAGTTGATTACTAAATCTAATAATTTTAATTTCTATTAGGACATTAATTTTTTCTCATATTATAAATAACTAATAGTATTAGCTATTTCATTTACTAATAATGTAATCAATTAAGTTGAACAAAATATGGAATCTATTTTCTCTGGAATTTGAGTACTAAATGAAATAAGAAATTCACCTACAGCAGAAGCTTATGATTAAGTTACATAATTCCTTAATAAATCTCTAAAAAAATGTCTATAAGCAGCCAAAATTAAATTGTATGTTTATTATACTTATTCTAATGATGGAGAGAATACTGATACTATTTTAGTAATTAAATTCAATAATGGATGCATATCATCTATTTTTTGATAAGATTTCTTTGGTTTAGCTAATTTTAATGAAGTTGTTATATGTTTTAAGATTAATTCTAAATTAAAATTAGTATTTTTCAAAATAAACACAATAATTTCTATCATATCACTTACATGATAGTCCTTCATAATTTATTCAATTAATTTTGGTACAGTCTCTTCAGCCCAATCTTCATTAAATTAATATTCTTTAGAGATTTCATCCATTACGAATGATAATATTTCTGGATTATTAATATGATTGATAAACCATTATAAAGCATTATTGAATATTTAATGAGAGTTATCCAATTTATATAGTTTCATATAAGATAATAAGAAATCTTCATCATTTGTTAATTCTTAAAACTAATTTTTTTGTAATTTGAATTTCATTTTTGATAAAATAATAGGAAATTTCTCTTTAAAATACAACTATGCTTCAGAACTATACTCAATGTTTTCTTTTGGATATTTTACTCCTTCATCCCCTTTAATTTTTGAACAAAGAAAATTGATATGTTTATCAATATTTTACATAATTATTTAATTTGATTAAAAATATGTATTTATAAATAGGAATAGTACTCTCTCATAAACTTACCAGAAATATTTTAGATTAAAGGGAATTATTATTTTAATAATAAATTTTAAAACTACTTATTTACTAATCTTTAACATAAAAAGAATTAAATTCATATTCTAATTAGCATAATAATAATTATAATTTTAATCATTAACAATTATTTGAATCACAAATCTGACAATATGATTCAGAATTATTTGCTACTGCTGTTCTTATCCAAAAAAAGAAGCATTTTTTGCATTTTTCAAATTTTACTATATTATGATATCTTGAAACAATTAATTTAATTTAATTTAAGAAGTATAATTCAATAATGCTTCTATTTAATATATTTCTCAATAAGTTATTTTTTATTCTTTCATTACAACTAATACAATTTAAATAATATTATCCTTAGTTTATTTATTATTAGAGTTAATCTCTTAAACAGTCTTTATGATAACTATGTTTACAATTTAATTTATAATTATCACCATCAATATATGTAAAACATATTTTACATTTAATTATATCCTATACTGATTATCTTACTTATATTCTATATGAATTATAATTATTAATATTTGTATTAATATATCTTGAAGACAAATTTGGTAGTTTGTACTAACTTAATGAACAATTCTCACTATTATGCAATCTAAAGTTTTCCTTTTTCTTTTATTTCTTAAAGTTAATAGGTTTTAATAATTCCAGTAATTTATTTTGAGAATTTTATACCTATTAATACTCCAATTATTATTTTTGAGGATTTTAGATTATCAATTCATTTATTGAATAAATATTTGATGATTTATCTTTTTATTTTATTGATGATTCCCTTGGTTAAATCTTTTATTCTAAAGTTTTTATAATAGGTTCTGATTTCTTGAAACTTGGTTTTATATTGATTTTCTGTACATTTTAAGGTAATGTCTTTTATTTTTTATAGCATTCATCAAAAAGTAAATCAATTAGAGTCATCCTTTCCCTTGAACTATTTGGAAGTTATTTTGCCATATTTATTGATCTAAACAAAATATATAATTATATTTTTCTTATTATTTAAAATAAAATAGTAATAATTTTGAATTAAAATAATGAAAGAGTCATTTATTCTTTTGGGTTACTTAAATAAATAATATAATTATTTTATAAAAAACCATTATTTTGAAGGATTTATTATGCATTACATAAATAAATATATCTGAAAAATGTTCAATATAAATTTTAAGTCAAAAAATCATACTAATTTTAAAAATATCTCTCCATAATATCTTAATTTTAATCTTAATCATTCATTTTATTTTACTATTATAAGATAATAGCAAGTAATTTAGTTCGAATGAGTTAATTACATCTGCAATGAACCTGTAATTTCTTACCATCAATTTATTAAATAATTAATTCTAATAAACAATTATAATGATAATGATGTAAACATTCAATTTGATAAATATTTTGTGAAATCTTTGTTTGACAAGAATAACAAATATAATCTATCTCCTAAGGTCTTGATAAGTCATATTCACTACATTCACTTCCACTTTAATAAACTTTATCTTCTTCATTAAAGGGTTCTACTGACATATAAGTTGTTACTAGATCAATTTATAGATTATCTTTTTGTTATTCATATGTAATTTGTTGATTTTATTCATTTGTATTTTATACATATTAGTGTTGCTATTCTTATATTAATTATATATTTTATTAATGATATTCATATGTATTTTAAAGAATTTATTGATTTGATTCATATGTATTTAATAGATTTTATTATTGTTATTCAAATGTATTACTATTAATTCTATTATTCATCCTTTTTCTATTAATTAGATGATATTTTTCATGATACCATTTATTTTTTGATATTTTATTTGCCTCAATTAATTTTTAAGAAGAGAATAATCTAATTTCACTTTCATTTTATTTTTGGTCTCTTTTTGGTGAATAATTACGTTGGATATTTTTCTTTTATATCTAAGGTTTTGCTTTATTTTTGCAAATAATTTATTTTATTTCCAAAATTTCTTCATCAGAACGATTCAGAATTGAATCGCTGTGATTATCATCAAAATATGAAATAGAAGGCTAAAGACAATAGCTATTTTTCATAATATCAGATTAATCTTAGAAGCTTTATTTAATATCTGATTCAATTTTTTATTTTTCTTGTACTTCATTTGAGGCATCTTTTTTTTTTTCCTTTTCTCTTGATTTACAACAATTTCCCATATTTTTGTATATGATTTTAATTTTAATAATTTATATATAACTCTATTAATATTATGTGTTTTTATAAAATATATTAAATGATAAATATGTAAAGATATCTAATGAATTAGAGATGTTTAATAATAATTTAATGAAATTATTAATTTTGATATAAAAATTAACAGTAATTTCTTAATTATTATTTTTGTTTATATTATACTCATCTAATTTTAGCTCTTAGGGCTTCTATTTCAGCACACATAAGAACTATTAATGATTACAAATCTTATATTTATCTTTTTAACATTCTGTCATCAAATGGTTTAGCATTTCTAAGTTTTTCCAATTCTTTCAATAATTCCTGAATTTATCTTTCATAATCAGCAATAATATCAGAAGGATTAACTTATTATTTATTATTATTATTATTATTCATTTATGATTATAATAATTATTAAGCTTTTAATCTATCTTATGCCATTTAATTCTATATTTCCATATCCTTAAGTTGTCTTTCTAATTATTTAATTCTATTTTCAGCATCTCTAAGTTTATTAAGTGCATCTTATAAATTATCTTCAGTTTCTCTTAATTATTTTTAAAGACTTTAAATTAAATCTTACATCTAATCAACTTTTTATTAATCTACTCCTTATGGTACATTTTAAACTACTTATTTAGCATTTTATGCATCAACTAATTATTTTTTTAATTTTTCTATTTCTTCTAAAGCTTTCTAAAGATCAAATTCAGCTTTCTTTGCTTTTTTTTCATTTGCTTCAGCAGAAGTTCTCAAATCATCATTAGCTCTTAATTAATTATTATATTTAGTGTTTAATTCATCAATTTCTTATTGCTATAATTAAATTTTATTATTCAAACTTTAAATCATTTATTGTAATCTTATTATTTCTGTTTTTTAAATCAGAATTTGCTTTAGAGCTTTTTCTGTTGGTGTTTCTGATTCAAATTCAGCTAATCTATCTTCAAGTAATTTAACCTTATTTCTTTCATCTTCTAATTCTTATAATGTTTAATTAAGTTCTATTTATAGTTATTAGTAATCAAGCTATTTTTTTGTTAATAAATCTTTTAATCTTTCTACTTCCTCAGCCAATCTTGTTGCTTTAAGAACCATATCTCTATTACTGAGTTCAAATTATTTGTATTCTTATAAAGCTAAATCTAAACGTTATGCTTTGTTTTTCCATTCCTCTACTTCATTTCCTTATTGAAAAACGATAACATTTAATCTTTCTATTTCTGCTATCAAAATATCATTTCTATGATTTGCATCTCTTAATAATACTTCTGCTTATGTAAATTAATTCATTCTATTCTCCATTTGATTTATTTATGTTTTATAACTTGATATGATTTATTTGTATTAGTTGATATCCTCCTATTAATCTTTAATATTTATAATAACATTACGTTTAATTATTTAGTTTTAATCATCTATTTGAGCTTGGAGATCAATCCATTTTTCATTGTCAAGAGTTTCCATTAAATTGAAATAATAAATTTTATTTAATATTTATTGTAAAATTTTTCATAATCATCATCTTCTTTGATAATTTAAAAGGGTTGGATTGATGAATAAAGTTTATTACTATTAAGGATATTAATGCGTTTAAGTTTAATAAACTTACTTTTATTAGTTGGCTATATGTTTTGATTATGAAGATTAAAATTATTATTATGGTTGCTATTACTATTATTGTTATTATTAATATTATTAATATTATTGTTATAATAAAGGAGACTATTATTATTAGGGATTTTGATTATATTTATATGTTGGATTTCCTTTTTATTGTACTGTTTGCATTACAGTTTAACCCTATTGTTTTTGATTTTGTTATTTTAATAACTACTAAATCACTTTTTAATCAATTTATGGTTAAGATTTAACATCCTTTGATTATTATAATTATTTAGAAGTGCTATTAAGTTAATTTTTAAGTTGTTCATTTTTTTATCTTTCTTAGTTTAGTTCTTGATTTAGTTATTATAATTATTTATCTTTCTAGTCCAAAGCTTCTTTTAGTTTTTTTATTTAATTTTCTTATTCTTTTATTTATTGATTATCCTTATTAGAAGTATTGTTACTATTTTTCTATAATTCTTCTTTTGATTTGATGATCTATCTTTCATATGCCATTCTATTTAATTCCATTGTCAATAATAGCATCTTAGGATCTTCAGGGATTTGTTCTGGTTATTCCATTATAATTAATTTATTTATTTGTAATAAAAGTATCAAGTTAAATGATTTACATCAAAATCCAATTAATTGATCTCATAATTTTATGCTTTTAGACTAAGTTAAAAACCGTGTAAAACATTGAGAAGAATAATAGATTTTGTAATTTTATATTTAAAGACACAATTAAAATATATAATAAAACTTTTCATTTATTGAGATTATTAATCAATGAATTTCAAAAAATTTATAAGAAGGACTGTTTTTAAATCATTGAATATTTGATAACATAGACTGGATTCATAATTTTTATGATTGATATTTATGTTGATAAAATTGAGTAAAATTTTTTAGGTGATTTTTAAGTTAATCCAAAATTTATCAAATGTTACATTTAAATTTTGAATCTATGATTAAGTTACAACGAATTAATATTTTTGTTTTAATCTATCAAAATGATGTTTTAATATATGTATGCCACTATTAAAATGAGCAAGACAGTATATATATTCAAACATTTCATTTTGATCATAAAATTTACTATTCTTTAAAGGATCATTTAATTAATTTAATAAAGAAGGTACTATATTAAGAATAAAGGGTAGATAATTTAGAACAATAAAAGTTAATTTGATTTTTTGTTAAACATTTCATCTTAATAAAGAACATCAGTAATTAATTACAGATAATTAACACTACTTTAGTTATTTGATTGTAATAAGGAATATTTTACAATGATTTAAAAATTACATTTATTATTAAAGGTGAATTTGTTTTGAAAAGAGTTGTTAATTTAGATTCTGAAATGAAATTTATTCTTTTAAACTTTGATTGATTTTCTAATAAAAAACTGGAAATTTATACATCATAGATTTTGTAGGTTATCTTAGATTATATAAAGAACTTAATAGTAATAGATCATTTACTAATAGATATATGTAAGAATAAGATTTGAATATATATAAGTAAATATTGAGTTTCTATTTTCAAATATATTTTATACAATAACACAATTATCTATCATAACATTTAATCTATTAAATATTCCACAAATATCTTTGCATTAGGAGTCGAAGTGCGTTGTGCTATTGAATTTACAAGATCATTTCTCTCCTAATGCAATAGACTACTGATTTTTTTTTATTTTTCACATAATATTTCATAAGACTCATTAGAATGGTGGTTTTACTTATTTGTTTCTTTATTTTATTCAGTTATATTATTTTATTAATCAAGTACTTCCCACCTATATCTTAAATATTTATAATATCGGTTCTTAACCATAGCCAAAGTTTTACCAGGGAAATGCTTATGAATTTTTTAGAATTTTGGCCCAATACTTTGAACCAATTCTAAAATCAATCTATCCTCTTCTGGTGTAAATTTTTATCCTGGCTTTCTATTGCTAAGACCTTCAGTAATTCTTCTATAATAATTTTATTATTAAATACTCATATTTTTTAGGTTATTTCTTTTTTCCAGATAAGGTTCTATCTTGTTCCTCTTCATCTTCTTAATCACACCCATTTTCCTATTCTTAATCTAATTCTTTGTCTATTTCTTATTCTTAGCTAGACATAAAAATTAAATAAATTTGTTTATTATACAAACGCAATTATATATTAGAAACATATATTATTGAACTTGTTCTCAAATATACTCTCTAATTTTCTAGAGAATTAAGAGAGTTATTATATAAATTTAATTTGACATTTATTTTATATAAAAATCATTTGTTTCCTAAAACTTTAACCATTAATTCTCCTAATCTCTAAAATTCTGTTCTGCTAACTTTACTATCATTATTTTAATCTAAATAGGATAACATATAATCAATTTCCTTTTTAGTTGGTTACTAATTTATTTTAGTATATAAACCTAAGAATTCAATTCAATTGCCAAATTATACAATAATGTATTTAATTCCTCTTTTTCAATAAATCCTGAATGGTTTTTGTCATAACGATCAAAAACACGATTTGAGAATTCAGATACTTATAAACTGTTCATACTCAATTTGTATATTATTTTATTAAATTCACATAATATTATATTAGTTTTAGAATATAGTGATTTCTCATATTTTAAATGTCTAAATCTTAGTATCAAATCTCATATGCATTTCTTATATAAATGTCTTACTAATTTTGACATTAAGTGAAGCATCAAGCAACTCATCCCAATCTACTTCAAGTTCATTATCATCAATTCTATAATTTTATTGGCTTAGAATGCATATAATTCCAGTCATATCTTCACTCATTAAAATTTCTTAATGATAAAGAAGAAAACCAATAATCAATTGATAAATATATGTCCAACCATATCTGAAGATACAATCGAACAATTTCACTTATTTCTGGATTGGGATCATCATTCCGAATAATGAAAATAACCACGAGGCACAAAACATGTCTACTTTCACTCCATTAATACAAAAATGTTAGTATAAATCTGGCATTTTGGTTAGAATAAGATAATCAATTAATTAGATATGTTTCGATAAACCAGGAGACCTACTATTATATTATCTTACATAGGTGAATAAAGATCATTCATTTATAGTAAATCAATGAGTTTTCTGAGTAATTCAAATGCAACAAAATTATCAGAATGATAAATCAATCCAGCAGCAACAAAATTCATTCCTTACATATAACCAACTATTTTGTTATATTTAGAATATGCAATTAAAACCTATTATAAATCTGATAATTTTTAAGGATAATTCTTAAGTGGATGTGTTCTTTCAACATCAAGATTTATTTATTTTATAATCTTTGGTTCACATTTACTTTCCAATAAATTAGAGTATTTATTTTTTAATTTATCAACATCATAATTGCCTAACCATTCTTTAGCTTTTATGCATGTATTATTTTAATAAGGTAAGCATTTACAAGGATCAACTTCTCGAGTAAATAGTCTCATAATTTTATTAATTACACTCTCCTCTTTTTCTTTTGGTCTAATATCATCATATGTTAATGTACTAAATCCCTAAACTGAACATACAGTTTGGTTACTTCCACATCTTTATGGAACCTTAATTATTTATATCTACTAAATGAACACAACTTAATTACCTTTGGTTATTTTGGATAATGAATAGTTTTTGAAGCATCTCTAATTACACCTGTCACTGTAATATTTCTAATTTACTGGGTAGGCTTTGTATTCTCAATAGCAGGTTCAAATTTCTTTTCTAATTATCCATGAGAGGACCTCCCTTAAAATTGCTCGGACATTCGTTAAAATATTAATTAATTATAATATAATGCATTCAAGTCGATCAGCTCCCTCATGTAACTTATGATTTAATCTAGTAATGACTATTGAATAAATGTACAGTGTTGTGAGAGGTGAAACAGGCGCTTGGGGTATTGAAGGATACGAAGTCCCCAAGAAGTATTGTGACCCTCTAAAATAAGTTTAAGAAAGAGAGTTCTTTGCAGGCAAATTAAAGAAACCTCCCACAATTACAAAAAGAGGTCATTTTTTGGATGACATAGCCAAACCATTTAGAAATCGTAAGGTCCCTGTTTAATATAATGTTGAATACAAGTGGGTAAATGAGAAAGATAAGGAAAGAAAAAGGTATATGCATACTCATTTATTTTATTTAGATCAAAAAGTGAACTATTGAAAAGAAATACATTTATTGATGATATATTCCTCTAGAATAGTAAACAAAACTACCCTAAACCTGGGCCAGGAAAGTATGATGAAAATAGATCCATTGAGAATCAAGCTAAAAAATGGAATGGCAAAACTAAAATTTAATATGGAGAAAAACCAGACTTTGTCTAAGACTATTAACATTTAGGAGCTGTCTTACCAGCAGGTCCAGGCAGTTATAATCCTCATGTATTCATTATAATTTAATAATAAAGCCTATTCTACCCAAATTAAAACACAATAATACAAATCCAAAGATTATGATTGCTAAACATAAAGATTTCGATAAGTTTAAGTTAGAAATGATGAAAAATTATCCTAAACCTGATTGTACTAAATATAAGCCATATCCTGTTGATTATAATACATTCGGTAGATCTTTAGAATTACTTTATGATAAAAAAAAAATAGAGCCAGCCAAAATTAAATATTGGGTATACTAAATCATTAATTTAGGGTAATCCTAATAAACCAGTGACCAGAAATAAGTCAGAGGCAAAAATTCCTCCTTAATATAACTTAATTGCTTATTGGCCTGGAAAAGATGATGGAAGTGCTAAAAATAAAGAGTTAAAAAAATTTAATTGGATGAATAAAGTCACAAAAGGAATTTAATAATCAATATATTATTGATAGAAAACAATATTATAGTCATTATTTATAAATAATTTTTATTTTAATGAATAAAAAAGCAGAGATATCCACTTTATTAGTTCTAATATATTTAACAATTATCTTAAAATCCAGAGATAAAATGAAGAAAACAAAATCCTATAGAAACTATATAAAATAATTATAAGCTTTTTCTCCATAATGGATAAACATTTTGAAACACTTCAATAAAAATATCGGGTTTTACAAATAAATTGAAAAGAAAGTCAATAATTGCTTAATTATTAGATGAAGTATGTGAAAATAATGAAAATTTGATTTTGCTAATGGAAGATGCATAAAAACCATTCTTATAGATTTAGATTATTTTGTTAATATGAATATATGATCTATTCTTAGATTAGTTAATGAAGAAACAAAATTTATTCTAATAAGGGAAGAGTGTTTATATCAGAAAATAATTATTATAGATATTAAGAAGAAATTCTTGAGACCTTTCTTTATGATATAAAAATAATAAAAGCATTCATTTTAATATAATTGCCTCAATATTCAAATATATTTTATAATTTACAGGGAGTATTATTAATGATAGATGGATTAAAATATAATAAATTTGATCATAAAAGAAATTATTATTAATAATATGAGAGTATCAATAAGAATTTCAAATGCTTGATCAAAATAATTGTTATTCTTTATCATTTATATGTAACTTAGATTGTTTTGAAATCGACAATAAATTATATTCAATGTTTTTGCTAAGAATATTAAAGAATTAATTAAAGATTTTTTAAAAATTTAAAATAATATGTAAATTTTTGTTAAGACCCTCACAGGGAAGACCATTACACTCGATGTCGAGCCATCTGATACTATCGATGCTGTTAAGGCAAAGATCTAAGACAAGGAAGGCATCCCTCCTGATTAATAAAGATTAATTTTTGCTGGAAAGCAATTGGAGGATGGAAGAACTCTTTCTGATTATAACATCTAAAAAGAATCAACTCTCCATTTAGTATTGAGACTTAGAGGAGGTGGTATGGAGCCAACCATTGCTGCTATTGCCAAAAAGTATAACGTTGAAAAAAAAATATGCAGAGTTTGCTATGCCAGGTATTTAATTATATATAAAGATTAAAAGATTACCACCAAAAGCCCACAATTGCAGAAAAAGAAAGTGTGGACACTCAAACTAATTAAGAATCAAGAAGAAGCCTAAGGATTGATATAATTATAAATAGTACAATAATAAATAAATATGTCTTATCATTCGAATTCATTTATTTTAATTAGTTATGAATTCTCAACAATAAACTAATCCAGAATACTTTCCACCTCCAACTTATTATTGTTATAAGAATGGACATTAATTGACTTGGAAATCAAGTAGTGGTCATCCATGTGCAGAATGTAAGATTAAAAATTGCAGATCTCGCTATTGGTGCTAATAATGCTAAGAAGCATTCTGTTTGCAATGCATGCCTCCACCTCTATTTGGAATAATGTGTGGAGCAGGACATCCGTAAACTCTTAATTACTATTATAAAGAATGAAATAGAGTATTGTACCTCATCACGTATGCGATTACTGTAGTGAAACAATTTAAAATTAAGCACATAGATGTTAGATATGTGACTTTGATATATGTCCAAATTGTCTACTGCAAAAAGAGGATTGATTTTTGTATTAAATAGTACAAATATTTACTTATAAATGTCTCAATTAATAGTCTTTGTGATTATAAATATTCATAATTGAGTTGATTGAGAGAAAATATGCATTAAGTATCAATAAAAACATTTATATAATAATATATGAATAAGTTATATATTGAATCGATAAAGACATCAGCAGAATTGATACCTATAGACATTTATTTTCTACTTAAAATAGGCGAACATTGTTAATTTTCAAACATCTTAAGTGTACATATTACTATTTAAATATTTTTTTTAGTTGTAATAGCAATCATAAACATGCAATATGTGCATTTAATATTAAGCTAGAGAAAAGTAACCAATTTCCATTGAATGTTGGGCATATGATTAACATTTAGTACCTAAAGCATTCTTTGGTAAAGAGAAATTGACAAATACAACTCGCAAGATCACATTAGATGGAATGGAAATTTAAATTCGTCAATCTTAATAGGAAAGAAGCAGAACCCCAGAGATCGCTATGAAAAGAGATGCTTCACCCTTTGGTAAAAGAGATTTAACTCCAAAAAGAGAGAAAAAATGATCTATACTCATCTTTTCAGGTGGGGTTGTAGAAGTTATTTCAATATCTTTTTTAATGTAAATATCAAATCGACAAAATTTGTGTTTTCTTCAATGTCTATATATCGAGATGAAAGCATATTGAAAGGACTTCTTCGAGATAAAACTATAGAGTAAGGGGCAGAGTTACATTTATTCATATTAGTTGAATAAAATGTGAGAAAGATCATTCAAGTGAATATTAATATGATGATTAGGAAGCAATTAAATATCAAAGACACTTCAGAAAAAAGTAACTCAATTCTTAAGATATTGAATTGGCTATCAAGGATCAAAATTTGCTGAAGGTATAGTGACCTAAATCATTTTAGTCTGAAATCTATGGATTTTAATATATGGATAGTATTAATTTATCCAAAAGAATGGATGAGTATATGCTCAATGATTAAGTATAGAATCTCAATATTCAAGAGCTTGGATTTAAGAGATCTAATTTAGCATTAGATGAAGACAGTTAAAATTCCTTTAGGATTTCCCTCTCTTTCCATATTCAATGTTATGAAAGATTATTAGATGATAAATTCTTAAGAGACATAATCCATAAGTAAATTCTACTCAATTTATTTAAGTGCAATACAAAGATATCATATAAACAGAGTCATTCTAAAATGTGGAAAACAAAAAGTCTTTTAATATAATAAAGGATAATATAATTAGTATATTGACAATTCATTAATAATCTATTGTGAAAAATTTTAAGGATTTATTTGAAAAAGAAGTAATAAGTCTAAAATATAGTTTTTCTCAAGAATTTGTATAATGTAAGTTAATATATTATGATATAGTACTTTCTGATTTGGAAAGCTACAAAGATGTTGCTTAAATAGTTCCATTTATTGTTCAATATTTATATAGTTAGTAGGATTAAGTTTAGCTTTTTTATTACAAACATAGATGTGTGATAGTTGAATGCTTAAATAGACTAATTATTAATAATTAGATTAATTTGGAATTTTAAGTATATCATATATATATATATAATAATAGTTACATTAAATCCTTAAAATCTTAGTTAAATTCTTAACTGCTAAGATAATGGAAATAAATATAAAATCATAAATAGAACTTCAAACAAAGACAGCCAGATGTTTAAATTATTTGCTTGATAAATTTAATTTGAAATATTAAGCATTAAGGTAAAATATAGATAGAGTTATTTTGGATAAATTCGAAAGAGTTACTTACAAAATTGAAAAGAAAAACTCTCAAAAATCATTATTAAAGGCTTATTCAATTATTCAATACTTTGTTGAATAAAATGTTAGTGTTTAACATTTAAAATTTGTAGAATAAATGAGTTAATTGATTAGAAAAATAGAACAAGTAAGATAATCAATATCATAACATAATCCAGATTATGAACATTTAAGTGGATTAATATGTTTATCCTTAGGAGTAATTTATTTAAATAAAAATGATAGAGTATTTTGATAAAAATAATAAATGGATTGCAATATTTATAGCCTAATCATGAAAATCAAATATTGCATATTATTAATAATACAAGATAGTTGATGTTAGAAATGGGATTATATGAAATGCTAGTAATGCAATAGTATTTTGGGGAGCATATGATTTTATGATTATTATTACCTTAATTTTATTTGAACACCAGTATATATATTAATTTAAATTAAATTCAATGTCAAGGAGATACGACTAAAAGACTAATACTTTCACTCCAGATGGAAGATTAAAATAAGTAGAATATGCAATTGAAGCAATTAATTAAACAGGATCTGCACTTGGAGTTTTAACTAATGATGGAATGATCTTAGCTACTGAAAAATAAGAAGTATCTCATTTACTAGAACATTCAAAAAATTCTGAAAAAATCTATCCAATTGATAGACACATATTTTCAGTTGTCTCAGGTCACACTGCTGATGCTAATATTTTAATTAATTATGCCAGAGAAGCTGCTGCCAATCATAGGTAAATTATAAATCAAAATAATAGATATTAGTTTTAAGATAATATTGGCTTAGAATAATTGATAATAAACATATGTGATTATAAACAGAATAAAACATAAGTAGGTGGATAAAGACCTTTTGGAACAGCCTTCTTATTTGCAGGTTATGATAAGGAAAATGGGTTTTAATTATTTAGTACTGATCCATCAGGTAATTATGCAGGATGGAAAGCAACTGCAATTGGAAAAAATAACTTAGCTGCAAATAGCTATTTAAAATAAGATTATAAAGATAATTTAACATTGGAATAAGTATTTTAATCTTAATATTTATTAGGGATTAGATATTGCAATAAAAGCATTAGTGAAAACTATGGATACATCATCTCCTTAGCCTTCTAAAATAGAAATAGTTGTTATAAGTAAATAAGGTAAAGAAGTCAAGAGTAAAACCTATAATGAAAAAGAGGTTTTAAGTTTGCTTTAAAAAAATGGATTTAGTAATGAATAAATGTAACAGGAATGATATATCCTACAAAAGGAAACATTAATTTGTTCATTAAATATTTATTTTAATTTCATTACTTCAAATTTGCTACTAATTTGTGAACATTTTCATTCCAATTCATCTTTGTACCTGTAATTGGTAAGGGTCTTCTCATAGCTTTAAAGAAAATGTCAGGCATAGAATTATATAAATTATCCATTCCTGATTAATGCTTATTTTCTAATTTAGAGATTGTATGAACAATTTATTTGGCACTTTCACTAGCAGCTGACAAATCTACATTGATTCCTTCTGAAAATGTATTTACATTTTTTAATTGAACATTACCATCTTCATAATAATGTGCTTAAACTCTCAAATCACCTTTTAATTATGTTTTTGTAAATTCCCAAGTTGATATCCAACTTCCACAGCTAAAATATTATGAATTAATATACAAAAAGTTTGGTAAATTGATTGTTTTTGCAGTAATTCCTAAATAGAATGTAAAATCTGAAACATCACCTTGATACATAACTAATTAAATGCATTTTTATTTTACCATAAGCTCCACAAACTTTATCATTAAATTATTAGCTCAAGTAAAGATTAAGTTACTATTCAAGTGCATCTCTTAGTGTATTTAGTTCTGGATCTGATGGTAATTCCACTTAAGATCTGGATATTATTTCTAATTTTTCATGATCCACTTAAATTGTCTCGTTGTTTTTTTAATCTACATAAAAGTCTTCCTAAGAATTCAGTACACTTGTAAGGATCTAAATACTCAATATAGACTATTACTTGAGTGTTTTAACCTTTAATTAAAGCTAAATGTTCCTCATTATGATCCCTCAATGCTTATAGCATAATAGGATGCTATGGATTAATATTCCCTATGATTTTACACAAATCCTTAATCACTAAATTAGCTTATCCAAAAGGTGTATTTTTAACAATGTACTTCACTACTTTCTCATACTATTAAAGTTCTGTGACTTCTTCTTCTCCTTAATTCATTATATATCTTTTATAAATTAAAATATAATCATCTTTATAGCATCATAAAAATATTCAATCTGTAAATTAGTTTTGTAGTGTTGTATCCGTATAGGTGTTCTAATCCTTTGAACAATCTACTCAGAGAAACACATTTAATATTAGAGATTAATGCTAATTGATTACTATAGAAATAACCAATCATCGCTTTATCTCTCACAAATAATTACAAAAAGTTAATATTAATATTTAATTTTAATAATGATTATCTTCTTAATTAGTAAATACTAAATATGATGTCATTTATTCTGTTTTTGCATTAAATTTGAATACCAAGAAGGTCCTTCTTAATCTTTTTATTGACTATTTTGATAAATACCTTAAAATAAAATTTAATTCATACTTTTTTTTTAATATGGCACTTTATGGATCAATATCTTCTTAAGACTTAATTAGTTCTAATTCTAAAGCCTTCCTAGTATTATCATAATTTAATTTATGTCTTCTAATATCTTCTTCTCTATCTACCATCATCTTTTATCCATGTTCTAAATCTTTTAATAAGAATTAATGTTTTTCTGTTATTTATCTGAGTTCTTCTCTTAAAGCCATTATTTCCTTCTTCTAAAATTCCCCCTCCTTTTTAAATGGATATACAATCTCCTAAACCTAAACCAATACCCAATCTTAAATAGGCATCTTCTTCTCATTCATATTCCTTAATCTTAAATAAACAGCTTTTGGAACTAATCCAGTTAAGATATCTCTGACTTATGCCAAAGCTTCCCTTATTCCTGGTTATTAAGACTCTTAATTAATCATCTTAGACTTAAGTTATTTGATTTCACTTAAAAGTGTATCAGTTTCAATTCTATGATTGGCAAATATTCTTTGTCTATCAGATTCATTAGCTGCTTAAACCCGTTTTATTTCTGCATTTAGAAATGATATTTATTTCTCTTGCAAACTTACAACAGATGAATAATTCTAAAATAGAATTAATTAAAATAAATGTTTCATATTGACTGTGTCATGAATGTTCCCACCTTTATTGTGTCTATTCTAATAATAATTCTCAATATTGATACAGAATCCCTCATGCTATCTGATTCACTATCATTCATCATCACTTAGTCTTATTCGAATTGCTTTATATCTTCTTCAGAAAATGTAGATGGGTCAATATTCATTGATTTCATAAGGTTCATGACATCTTTTCTCTTTGTACTCATTTATAAGATAATTAATTGAAATTTAGTTTTTGAGTGATAATATTCAAAGATAAATAAATCAATAAAAAAGAATCACTTTATTTATATGGTACTTATAAAAATACGATACAATTTTTATTGAATTAAAATTATAATTTTCTCAATATCAAGAGAATAATAAATTTATATTTCTTTTAAATAGAAAATTAAATTATTTTTTTATAATTTTAAATTGATTTTGTAATTGAGAATTACCATTTCTTTTTAACATATATTCTTTTGTTATCATTCTAAATATATTTAATATTCATGTTAATAACATTTTTAAACTAACTTAAAATCTTAAATGAATTTTGATAATTATAATTATTATTGTGGAATATGAAAAATTCAAATTTTAACAATATAATTAAAAATAATGTCTTCAACAAGAACTAGTTCTAAACATCAAAGAAAAAGTGAGAATCGTTTTCAACAATAAATTAATAGTCTTTTAAAAAATATAATTCACCCACCTTCTCCTCTCTCTAAATAATGGATTAAGGATCGAGAGGAAGAATAAAAGAGTTTGTTTCAAGAAGTTAAAAAAAGTGAATTTAATACTAAAAACTAAACAATAACATAATTAACTGATATTGGAAAGAAATTATAGAAAATGAAAAAGAAGTTAAGAATTTTCACTGCTGATGATCGTCTAAAAACACCAGTATCAGAGAATAAAAGTAGAAAATCAACCAAATCAAAGAAGAGTTAAAGTAAAAAGGGGCAGAGTTCACATAGTTAATCAAGAACATAAGTAAAAAGTTTTGAACAAAGCAGAAGTAAATCTTCAAAAAAAGTAAAAAAGTCTTTAAAGTCCTCAAAAACTAAAAATACTCCACAATTTTAAAAGAAAACATTTGAAAATAAACTTGGTAGTTTCTCTAAGGAAATGCAACTATAAAGAGATAGTTCAAGACCTAATGTTAGAATTTTAGATTCAAGAATTGCAAAGAATTCTGTTGATAGAGGTTTAAGGTAATTTATGTTATTTATGTAAGTAACTCTCGTTCAATAGGGTCTTCAAAAAAATAATTTAGAAATCAAAGAACTGAATCTGCTTGTGAAGAATCAAGTTCTTTAACAGATTCTAGTGATACAAAAGAAATTATAAATTTGAAAATGAATCCATATACTTCATAATCTAAATATGAAGTATTTATTGATGATGATAAAAGAATAAAAGAATTTGAGGCAGGATAATTAAGTAGAGAAGAGAATCTTATGTAAACAACTTAATTAGAATCTGTGACTAAAGAAAAAGTATTAAGGGAATATAGGATTTTATATTACAAAAATAAAGAAGTCAAAAAATTACTTACTGAATATTATGAACAAAATTTACGTTTGACTTAAGAAATTAATGAATTACAATAAATTATATATGAAAAATAACTTGAAAATAAATAAGTTAAAAAAGAATTAAAGTTTTAAACTAAAGATATGAAAAATATGCAATCAGAATATAGTACAAAAATAGATCAATTAGGTAAATCTTATTAATAACATTAAATGAATAGTGTTCCATTGAATGAATTTGAAAGATTAAAATAAGAAAATGATAAAATTTTAATAGAAAATGAAATGCTAAAGGAGGATTATAATGCAATAAATCTTAAAATGCAACAAATAGAAAATGAGATATATTTAAAGAGACAGTATGAAATTCCAGGATAAGAGTTTTCTTAAAGATTATAAAGAGAATTAGAATCAGTCAAAGACTAAACCGATAGAATAAAGGAAGAAAATATTAAATTGAAGTTACAATTAGACAAAGAATATAATTCTAATCGAGAATTATCATAATAAATTAATTAAAAGAAACATGAGCTTAATGGAAATATTGAATAAAAATAATAGGAATTATAATAATTGTAATCTCATTTATAAACTGCTAATACAAAAATTTAGAAATTAGAATAATAATTAACTTAAATGAAGTATCAATTGATTACAGAATAAGAATAATCATTTTAAATACGTGAAAAAATCATTAGATAAGAAGAAGAATTAAGAATAACAAATCTGAAAGTAGAGAACAGAGAAAAAGAAATCAATGAATTAAGATCAAAAGAATTAATTTAAAAAAAAAAAATATTAGATCTAGAATCTAAAATTGAAAATCAAATTTACTAACCTCTATCTTATTTTGAACCTGTCATTACATTCAATAAACCAAATAATTCTGAACAATGTATAATAAATTATAAACAAATTAATAATAAGGAATTATAATAAGAGCGATAAATATTAGCAAAGACTTAGGATTAATTATTAAATATTTAAGCAGAAAATGATCAATTAAAACGAAATCTTAAATAAATAGAATTAGAATTATAATATGAAAGGCAATAGAATGAATAAATCAAATTGAAATTCTCTTAATTATAATAAGAAAATGAATTTACTCTACAAAGAGTACAAAAATAATTTAAAGAGACTGAAAATTATCGTTCAAAGGAATTTTAAATAACTGAATAACAATTTAAAAATCAAGAAAACTTATTGTTTTCTGCATAATAAAGAATAAATGAATTAGAAAATGAAATTAAAATATTGAATAATAAAGAGTAAGATAATAAAAATTTGATAAATGATCAGAAAATATAAATTGAAAAATAATAATTAAAATAAGAGCAACATGTAGTAAAATTAAGTGAGCTTACAAATTAGGTTAAAATTGTTGAATATGAAAATGTAAATTTAAAGGAAAATAATTGTTAATTAAAATTATAAAATCAATAGTTAATAAAAGAATTAGAATAAATTGATAGGATTAAAGATAATTATAAAAATAAATATTTAAATAATATGTATGAAAATAAAAAATTAGTAAATTAATATCATGAAGTAATTGTATTCTAATATTTAGAAAGAAAATATTCTGAAACAAACATTCAATAATGAATTAGAAATAGTAAAATGTTAAAAAGAACAATTGGAAAAAATGAAAAATCAAGAGGAATGTTAAAGATAATAAAAAGATAAAAAGTTAAAAGTTATAAGTGAACTATAATAAATGATAAAAGGACATAAAATTGCATTTGATAAATGAAATTAAATTGAATATTAAATTAAGCATTAAAATCTTAATAATATATATATATATAATGTTTCAAGGTTTATGCAAGCCTTTTTTACAACCAGGATTGCAATCTCTACATTAATTACAGCATGTAAAATATTCATCTCCTCCACAAGTTCTACATGAAAAATACTTAAGTTTTCCTGGATGAAATATGCATGTCTCATATAATATTTTTTAAATACTTCTTCATTAAAACCTTCTTTTAAAGTGATATTACAACGAACACAATTCCAAAAAGCCCCTGATTATCTTAAAAGTTTTGTTTCTTCTTCTATTTCCAATAATTATGCTTATAGTTTAATAATTGATGTCTCATCGTTCTGAATTGATTTTAGTAAATCTTCACCCTATTATTTTTTATGAATGGAAAAATTCTAAATTTCTTTATAAGCAGGATTTGTAGATATATCAATTTCAAAGGAATGATCTTTGCCACTAATTAAATCAATTAATAATGTTAGCTATTTCAGAAGATTTTTTTTTTCTTTTAAGTAAAATTCCCATTCATCATTGTCCCTTCTTAATAATCGTTCTTCTCTTTCAAAAGTTTAAATTTTTTAATTAACTTAATGCATTTTATCAGAAACAATTGAAAACATTTTCTTTAATTCTTACTATTCAAACTAAGTGATCTCTATAATTGGTATAATAAATACCTAATGTTTATTGACATTTTTAGATTATTTTATTTATAGGTAAAATTTCTTCTCTCTAATCTTTTGATTTACTTTTATTTTTTTCCTACTTCATTTAATATTTTTTTATGAAAATGATGAATTATTTATATATATATATATAAAAATACATTTATTGAATGAAATCTTCTGATCATTAACAATAAAATTCAGTTAGTTGGCTATTAAATTTAGTTGGAAAATTTTCTCCAAAAGATTTAGAAAAATCTAATTTAAAAGAAATTGGAGAAGAATATATGAAAAAGATTTTACTTTATCCTTAACTTTAATAAGGGAATGTTTTTAGTTACAACTAATAAAAATAAGAATTCTCAGAGAAACTATTTCTTATATATCCTAATATTCTAATATGTTAACATGATAAAATTCATACTCATTTAATATTGAGTAATTGCAGTATTTAAAAAGAATTAATCTAATATAAAGAATCAAAAACTTATGGATTAATTATTTCTAATAATTTAGGTAATACCTACTTATTTTTCTCATAATTCATTCAGTATAGAAATTGGTATAAATTAATGAAACAATATTGTAAATTAAATGATTTTTTTGGGAAATACAAATTAACAGATAGAATGTTACCTGGAATTTATTAATGTTATAAGAAATCTGTAATTATTTGATTATCAATATAGAATAATGCATAATTCACTGTTCAAATTTATAAGATGGAAGATTTTGAATAATGGCCAGAAATAGAAGAAGTTGTTCATAATGAAATATAAATGCTACGCTCAATTAAGCATTAAAATTTATTACAATTAAGAAGAGTTTATGAGGATGACTCATATTTATTTATCTTATATGAACATTTCAAAGGAGAGTCCCTATATAATTTAATATTAACAAATCCTCTACACGAAGTTCAAATAGCTTCAGTAATTAGCATATCTATTAAATTAGATTGTATATTAAATTTTACAACTACTTAAATTTTTAGATAAACATTAATTTTATCATGGAAATCTTAATCCTCTAAATATAATTATTAACTCAAATAATTAACTACTTTAGATTTTTTTGATTAACTTATCTTTTAAGGTATTAAAACTATTGTTATCTATAGCAATATAGAATAAATGATAAATTAGACTGGATTTTAAATAGATAAATTGAAGGATTTATAGCACCTGAATTTTATAATGGAGTACCACCAAATATTACTTCAGATTTATATAGTTTAGGTGTTTTACTCTATTTTATGACATTTCCAACATAGTTACCTAATGAAAAACATTTTGATAAATATGAAATAGATACTACTAAAATTTAGAAATTATTGTAAAAGAAATTATCTTTAATTCCTAATGATGGAACTTCTCCACTTGATAAATCAATAGAAAAAAACATTAGTTTAAGTGAATTAGATTTATTATCAAAATTATTAGAAACTAATCCTAGTATTTATTTCTTAAATAATAGAACAAAGAATTACAATATCTGATAGTATGAAACATCATTGGTTTGTGAATATTAAGAGTAAAATCAAATAGTTGAATGTTATTAAAAAGAAAAAAGTAGAATTACCTTCATTAAGAACAATCATAGAATTAAGATCTTAAAGTGAATTAGATCTTAAAGTTTAATCTTAATTATCCAATAATAGAAGATAATCAAGATTAGGTTTAAATTAAGTTGATGATTTTGATGTAGGTAATCTATTAAAATATTAAAGTTAGTTCCTGATGAAGGACATCCTTTAGAGTAAGTAGCTGATTTAGATTTTTGTTAATTATTAAGAAGTAGCACATAATTAAGAAAATTATAAACTCTAAGTAATAAATCTATTAGTTGATTTAATTCGAATTTATGATTTATAAAAATATATATATATATAAGATCTCAAATTATCAGCTATTTCAAAATATGATTTTCTTATCATACATACATATTAATAAAGATGAATTCATTATCTTTGCTGATACAAAACAAATAAATAAAGCTTTATTTGGAACTAAAGAATTTCCAGCTTATGGTCTAAAAACAACTTAAATTTATATTTACTTTTAAAAAAAAAAATTACTTATTCTTAAATAATCCAGAATAAGCCTAAAAGGTATCAAAATCTTTAAATCATTCAATAAATTTGAGAATATGACATCCATTGGTTTATTTTCTAAGAAACCAGCAAAAAGATAATAAGGAATAGGAGCTAGAGGACTAATAACCTTGTATATAAAATGTAGTACTAATTTAAATTTTGGTGAGTATTGTCTCTATCCTAAAAATTGATTCAATTTCACATGCAATATAGAATTGAAATTAGTGGACATGAATCCATAAGTAAAATTTCTAAAATAATTAATTTTGAATGGATCAGATATCTTATTATGTAATTTTTTACATCGTATTCATCTTATATTTATTAAAATTGTTCTGAATACTTGTTTCTGTATGTATTATCAATGTATGAAGTAATAAAATCAATAGAAATGAATCCAATACCTACCAAAGAATATGATGCAATTCTTCCTGACAATGTGGGTTTTATTTTATACATAAATAAATTAAATATAATAATAAGAATTACATTATATATAAAAATAATTATGTATTTATATCCAAATGATATTAATATTATTTAATTCAAATTAAATAGGAATATTTATTTCCTTAATTAAGTTATCTATTTGATTGATTATATCAATTATATATATATATTTATAATAATAGTATAATTTATATAAATTAATTAATAAGTATCATTCATTTACGAATTTTTCTTCGTCATCTGCATAATCTAATTCAAGACAATGTATTTATTTCGAAGAAAAATGTGAAGTTTCTTTATTTTCACTAATAGATATACTACTGATTATTTCTTCTAAATTCTTTAAAGTAATTGGCTTAATATAGACATCCTTCATTCCAGCATTCAATAAATTAATTAAATCATCTTCTCCAGAAAATCCTGTCAATCCAAAAATTGGAATATTGAATTTTGGTTGCTCTCTAAACAAAAATAAAAGTTATTTTGTTGCTTCTTACCCATTCATAATAGGCATTTAATAATCCATAATGATAGCCTTATATCCTGAACATTTATGTTCTTCAAATTATTAAATACTTTTCTCTATTAATTCTAGACATTATTAACCATTATCAGTTTTGATTGAATGATACCCTAATTATTTCAATAAAGATTCCAAGACAAGTAAATTATAAGGTTCATCATCTACTATTACAATTTTTTAATCGCAATTACATGGTGTTGATTAGAATAATATCCTACTTCCACCACTATTTCTATTGAGACTTGAAAGATTACCTCCAGAATAAAACTAATTACTTCCCTTTTTATTATTATTAGTTAGGTTGCTATTTTAAAAGTTAAAAATTAGTTAAGGAGATCTCTTAACTTTATGAAAAATATTTGTTCGACTACTACTTTCTGGATCAGTCCAAACATTATATTTGTGACTAAAACTATCGAAATCTGCCACCTCTCCTTCCACTTAAATTTAAGAACCTTCTCTATTATATAAATCGCTAGCCATAAATTCTGTTAACTATGTTATTTTACATTTTAAATGTATACAAACAGTGGTTCCTTAATTAACAATCGAATCTATTGTAATATAGTTTTCTTCCTCTTTTTCTCCTAAAAATTTAATTAAAGTATTTGATGCTCTTAAACCAAGCATAATCCCTGAAGCTGCATCTGAATTTTACTCTTCAAAAAATTCTTCTTCATTTTTCAATAGATTTTAAATTGCTTCTAATTTTTATTGATTGATCCCATTTCCATTATCTTTAATTTCAATTAAATAATAATCATAATTATTTGTATTAGTATGTTAGTTGTTATTTGAAAATTGACTATTTGGATTTATATATTATTTAAAAATAGTATTCTTTCTTAATGGAAAATGAAAAGAGCTTTCATTTACATCTAAAGAGCTTTTAAAATATTGAGAAGGATTTGATGATATTATTTTTTTTTCATATTCTTTTGAATTTTATATATGTTTATCTTAACTATCTTTACTGAGAGTGATAAATATTTAACCATTTTATTTATTAAATTTCAAACTGTTGGAAATGATATGGATTAAAATACTTTATAATTTTTCTTAATCTAACATCTCATATTAGGTTTAATTAATTAATTTAAAGAAAACTATTTTAACATCTTTTAAGTCAGCTTCTTCCTAAAATAAATCTATTGTTTCTTAAACAACTTAAATTAATTTACATTTTTATATTTTAGTAACTAACTTCTTTTCTCGAACCAAGTTATAGTCTATTATAGAATTTATTATTAAGTTCTGTATTCTACAGTTATTGAAGGCTGCTCTTATTAATTTATTTGTTTCTTTATCAAATAATTAACTTTTATATTAGATTACTTCAAGAAAACCTTATATAACATTCAATCTAGTCCTAAGTTCATGAGAAATTGATCTAATTACCTAACTTTTGAACCTATTAAGATTTTTGTAGTAAGATGATTTGAAATTAGGGGAAATATCATAGAAATTTAATAGTATTGCATTCTTATTCATTCCATATTGGAGCCTTGTTTTAATTCTGACTTCAATCATAGCTGGATATTCAGATATTTAACTATTCTCATATTAACATTACAATAAATAAATATTTCCATTTGACTAACTTTCAACATTATTAATTATGTCAAGAGCTTAATTTAAATTAATTTAATGTAAATAATTTGTATCTTTGAATTCTTCAAATTTATTCTGACTCTCTATATTAAATTACTCTTGTAATTGTTATGTATTTAAATAAAGTCCTTCAAAAAATTAAATAATCTCATTTAATGAGGAAGTAATAAAGGATTCTTAAGAAGACAAGTTCTAATTTTAAAATACATTAAGTGATTTAGTTCCAGTCAATACTCCATTATTTAATTAATGCATCATTTTTTTTGTGAAACTATTTGTAAATAGAACATCTTTGCTATAAGAATCAAGGACACATACTGCACTTGGTATACTTCTCAAAGTTTAATCAGCAAATTATGAGACTTTACTAAGACTAATTAATTGTTAATCCCAAAAATAGAGTATCATTATTATGAATATTATTATATTGAGGGATTGTAAAGATTTAAAATGAAATGTGATATTTCTGATAGCAAAATATATGTAAAATTTCAGTAATAAAACAATTCTTAATTTAATCGTTCTTACTATACCTAGTATCAATAACAAATTAATAAACATTTAACATATTGTTAAGATCTTACCATCAGATTCATTAGATATAAACATTTCTGTTAAAAATAATTAAAAAGATGTCTCAATCAGTATGAAAGTCAAATTAATTAGTGTTAAACGATGCTATTCCTTTAAATGTGTAATAATATTTCTCACTATATAAACTAATAATAACACTCCAACAAAACAGATATATAAATAATAGGTAGTTAGTTATGTGTTGAAACTTTAAAAGTACAATGAATTGTAAACTATAATATATACTAGCCCAATAATAGCATATATTTTGACTAAATTAATAAAAGCAGGCCATATATTCTCAAGAATCATTTGATTATGTTGAGCTATGTATCTCTGATTGGTATAATCCTCAATTGTAATCAAAATGTGCTCTTTTAATTTTTTTATTAACATATAAAAATTATTCATAAGACCTTTTTTGACAAATATCTAGACTAATAATTTAAAAAAATGAGGTCTTTTTTCAACAAGAATAAATTCAAAAAGATTCCCTATCAAAAAATAATAAAATTAATATGCATTTATCAAGAAATTATGAGTTCTTAGATAAACATGACAATTTATTAACAAATATATAATTAATTAATAAAATTAAGTTATTACTAAATAAATAACAAATTTGAGCTTAATAATTAAAAATAATTAATAATACTTAATTGATTTTCTAAAGATATAATTTAAAAATTAATTAATTAATACATTTAATTGCTTTAATATATTAGCACTATTATTTTATTACAAAATAATACATAATAATATTCAAACTTTTTATTTCTATATTATTAATTAAATATTACATTTTCTCTATCGGTATCAAATTCTTAATTATTAGTTTATTTTCTTCTTCTTCTAGTCATTTTGGTTTATTTAGTTTTATGATCAGAATTACTTGCCTCATAACCTTCTTCATCACCTTCTTCAATTTGAATATCCTTATCTTTTTTGCTTTTTTAATACTAATATTGATTTAATATTATATACTTTATTCTTATTTTATTCATCTTCTTCACTTTATTATGGAGTTCTTTCTTCATCACCATCATAATTGAAAATACTATTAATATAATTATTAAAACCTTTTCCTCTCTTTTGTTTAATATCCGCTCTAAAATTATTCTTTCAATACTTAAGTCTAGTTTATCTAATTAAATTATTAATAAATTAATATACTTCTTGAATAGTAGAAATTTCAATGAACTCTTAAATTTAATCAAGCCATTGATTTAAAGTTAAATTCTAAATATATGGGTTATCTTTCAAATCATTCAAAAAGTTTAAATATTAGTGATCAAGTATTTATTCTTAAAAATATGTTTTAAAAGAATCTTAAGTTTAAGAGATTAATTTTTTGTCATCATGTTACTCATTTAAACATAATAAAGTTTCATAATTTTTTCTAAGTACAGTGACATATTGTTATGATAATTTTGTGGAACAAATTTATTCTGCATTTAATAAGGCTATTGGTCCATAAACAATAATATTGGAAAAATATGATATTATATTACTTATAATATAATAGAATATTACTTAATTATTTACTGTTTTTGGATTAAGTATGCTTCACATATTTAATTGTTCAATTAATTGTCCTTCAATAATTACAAAAATTAATCTTAAATCATTTTAATATAATTAATAATAAATAAATAATCATAAATTCATAAATATCTTCATTCACTGCTTGAAGATAGATTGATTTAAATTAATAATTTTTTATTCCACTATATAAGGCATTCTTAAAGTGGAATTTATTATTACCAATTACTAGTAATTGATTAAAAAGATTTCAATCTTAATTAATAATTACTTGGCTAATAGAAAACAGTTTATGATTTGCAATCTTTCTTTATTTACTCTATACTTCTGCTTTCATGAATAAATTAACATCTTGCTCCATAAAAACATACCTAATTATATTATAGATTTAACATATTCTTAATGGAAAGATCTACATAATTTAGACTTATATTTAATATTAGATTGTCTAGATATTTTCTCATTCTCACCATGAGCAAATTAACATTTATTACTATAATTGCATTTACCAAGAAGACTCCAATTTTTACACATTTCTGTTTTGAATTTAGTATTACTCTAAGATTCATCACTAGAAGAAGTCATTTCTTCAATTGGATCATCATCTTAAACATAAAAATCAGTGTTCATTGATGCTAAAGTAGCTACAGTGCTCATAGATCCTCTTTTGTCTAAATCTGGTTAATCATTAAATGAAAATCTTTTAGCATTTTTTAAGCACTTTTGTGTCCATGAAGGTTAACTTGGAATATAATTATTCAAATCAGTGTTCAGTGATCGCCTAATATAATTTATAATTAGAACCTTTCTGAATTTATTTTTTAACTTTTATTTTGAACAGAGGTTCTTTATTTATAAGTTCTTATCTTATGTACATCTGACATGAACAAGATGAGTTTATTTAGTAAACAGAAAGGAAATGTTTATATAAATAATATATAGATTTTATATTAAAATTTATTATATTATATTGTCAGAATGCATTTAAACACAATTAAGATTGTTTATAACATTTCAAATAAATTGGTTGCAAAAGAGATAACTAAACTATTTTAAATGATTAAATTAAAATAATCTGTAGAAAATGTTTATAATTCATTATATTTTTATAACTACTCATCTAAGTCATTATTTAATATTAGAAAATCTCTAATAGATAAAAATGATGATTTTAATCAATTTTTATCTGAATTAAAAAGAAATATAATAATATAGATTTGATTTATAATAATACATTTCTTTTTTAATTTATAATTAAGAAATGAAGAGTTTAGATAATTACAGATACTAATTTATTCATTTAAAAGAAATGTTAATCACTTAAATTTCAAAATAAATTATCAATTCTTTACATTTCTTATTATAGAGACGCTAATACTTAAATATCTATTGCCTTCTTTAATAATATTCAATTATTAAATTAAATCATATTCATATATTAGAATTCAACAAATTAATAATATCTAGTATAACAGGGAAATATCAAAATAATCATAATTTAAGATTATATTGTATAAAATTAGATTCTTTAATAATTTAATTTATCCTGAGATTAAAATTAAGAATTCCTATCAACTAAAAATTATTTTGTTTAAATATACAATTTTAGTTATTCAATTCAGATTTTAGATCATTTACAATCATAATCTTATCAATCTACATCAACTAATTATTTGATAAATTTAATTATATATATCTAATTGATGGATTTTAAAACAAATTATCTTAAATTTTCTTAATTTTCTGCTTTTTCCTTTAAAGTCATTCTTAATATTTATTTTGATTATCTTATTTTGATTATTCATATTAATAAGATCATTTATTTTCTGGAATATAATGAAGTTACTTTTTCCAATTTTATCCTAAATTCTTGTAAATTTCAGTTAGCTATTAGAGTTTGGCTATTAAAAGGAGATTTCTTAGTTACTATTTTAGTTCAAACTATTAGTTCTATAGAAATCTTATATTTTACTTTGATATTTAATATTATGCAATCTTAAATCCATTATTATTAATTGTGATGAACGAATAATTCAATTAGGCTCATTATGATATAAAACAAGAGATCTAGCATTATGAACATGACTTGGATCATTTTTGGACAACTCTAACCGGGTATATTATGATAATAAATTAAGGGCTATTGTTCTGATTATGCAGTTAGGGTTTGCATTTCTAGAGGGAGGGTGTGTACGATATAGGAACATTCAAAGTATCATAATCAAAGTTTATGCAAACACTGCCATTAGCATAATTATGATGTGGATAGTAAGAATAAGTTAAAAATTAGGTTGGATATGGATTAATGATGGGTAAGACTAACGACACATAATTTAATGGAATAAGTGGTTTTGCAGGTTTCAGATTTAAGGATCATCCTGAATCTTATGCTGATTTTGTATTTAACTCAGCATTAGCTGCTGCAGCTAATAGTATAGTATCTGGAGGAGCAGCAGAAAGAATGTCAATACCTGGTTATATTGCTCTTAGTGCATTATTTTCTGGATTTATTTATCCTATTTGTATCCATTGGGCATTTAGAGGATGGTTATATGATATGGGTTATCATGATTTTGCTGGAAGTGGTGCTATTCATTTAACAGCTGGAATTGGAGCACTTGTTGTTACTTATATGTTGAGGCCTAGAACAAATAGATTTAATCCTGAATTTGAATCTTAATTTAAGCCTTCTAATACGACATTTATTTGTTTATCTTGTTTGACTTTATACATGGCTTGGATGTGCTTCAATTCAGGATCTACTTTAGCTTTATCTAATGGTTCAGTCTTCACTGTTGGAAATTCTATTGCTAACACTATGGTTGGTGGAGCAAGTGGAGGATTATTTGTATTCTTCTATCATTATTTTACTAACAGAAACACAGATAATCGTTTTAGTTTAGTAATGGTTTGTAATGGTAATTTGGCTGGTCTAGTAGCAGTCACAGGGTAAAAATTAATTATAGTTATTTAGATCAAATGATGAAATAGAATAATGGGCAGCCTTTGTAATTGGAATAATAGGAGGAATAATTTATATATTAGTAGCAAAAATATTACATAAATTACATATAGATGATCCTGTGGATGCTATTCCTATTCATGCTGGTTGTGGTTTAGCAGGAGCCATGTGTCCAGGATGGTTTGATAGAAGGAGAGGAATATATTATGAATAGGGAGCATATTAATGGGGAGTATAAGTACTTGGTTGTGTATGCTTTATTGCATGGTAATTAATTTATAATAATTCATAGGTCTGCTGCTTGGCATTATGCAGCATGTAAAATATTGGAAAAACTAAATTTGCTTAGAGTTCATAATACTATAGAATTAGAAGGATTTGATTCAACAATTTGTGGAGGACATGCTTTCTTTTATGAACCTGTAAGAGAATAGGATATGAAAGAATTATATTCATTCTAAAGAGATGTGCAATAATTAGATTAAGCAAAATTAAATGAAATGGAAATTGATGAGAGAAACTTATCAATTATGAAATAAGCTGATAAATGAAAAATATTTTGATGAATTTATATTCATAAATCTATTTTTATTTTTCTTTCTTTTGCATTAACAACATAGGTACTATTTTATATAAATGTGTAATCTGGTTAAAATGCATTAAAATCTATTGTTTGATTTTTACCATATGATTTTAGTACCCAAAAATGATCACTATTGTTTGTGATAACTGTTTCAAAGATATCATCAAATGGTCTACCTGGTAAATATGTTTTAGATTCATCCTCACAATTAACACTTCTTATTCCCATAGAACCATCACCAAAATATACAGTTCCTTTTTCTGATTTTTTATTAGCTATTAATGGAAAAGTTCTTTTATATTAATGAACATGATTTTCAAAAGCTCCCACAAATTCATATTAATCAAATAAAGGTACCCAAATAGCTCTAGCCTATAATAAATTATCCCAAGAATTCATAAAAGATTTATTATTATAACAAGTAGGATAAATAGGTACATGATAATGAGCAAATTTATTAAATGTTGCATAAGATTCATTTTTTAGAATTGATATCATCCATTCTGATTAAGTACCATTATGAGGATATAAATATCCTGAATCTAAACCAAAGAGTAATAGGTTTTACATCTTTTAAATATTGAATGTCACTCTATTTTTAACTGGTAGAACAGTATTATCAACAGACTTTCTTTAAGGAAAGTAGGTGAAATATAAAGGTCCCCTTTCATTAGACACTGTTATATTATATTTTGCATAATCATTGAATCCAACATCATGATTACCAACTGAAAAGATGAATGGAATCAATCTTCCAACTTTTATAAACTAAGTTTCAAAGACTTATAATAATAAATCAAATGAATAATAACAATGTACATTGCCATTATCATAAGCTATATCTCCTCCAATCAAAATAGCATCAGGATTAACTTTACTAATTTAATCTACAATCATTAATCCTTTTGTTTAATAACCCCAATCTCCTCCAAACAAAATTACAAGATCATCATCTGAATATTATTCTGCTATTGTTCTGTACTTTGTAGAATTCAAGACTTTCTCCTTATAAATTAAATCTACATCATATAAAGTATATGATTATAGACCTGTAAAAAAACATGTGAATACATTTCTTTATCCTCTTTCTTCAACAGATGATGGAAAAGGTATTTTATCACACTTTATATTAATTTTAGAATCTTAAAACTTCATTTGTGCATTTAATTCATCTATATCAGTTCCAGAATGTACATTGATAAAAACTTCTTTTGATGTCTCTTCAGGTAAAGTGGCATATATATGACACAATGTTCCTTTAGGACACACTTCATCAGGTAACCAATTTGATCTAGTCCATTTAGTTGAAAATTATAAATCCAAAAATGTGTCTACTCCATATGCTTTATTATAAACACAAAGACATCCTTTTTGGAATGCTAATGGAAGAAATATTGAGAAAAATATAACTGTGGTCAATTCAAATACTAAAAGATACTTAAAATATATGGCTGCACTTATATATCTCTTTTTAAAAGACTTATCTAAATATATTATCTTTTAATTACTTTTCCAAAATTATGAATTTCTCCATATTTATACTAAAATTCCAAATATTCCAAGCAAAAATATTAAAAATCCGCATAACCAAGAATGGATCAAATTAAAAACTGAATAACCAACTAAAGCTATAGCCAAAGGGCCTATTATAAACCAAAATAGAACAATATTGATTGATTCCACTATAATTGCAGACATTGGTTTTTCTTAAATTCAATAAGATAAAATTGTCTTACTTTCTTGTTTTACATCAAAAAATGAATCAGTAATATTAATCTATCCCACTTCCTTCATCTTCTTAGGCTTTAGTAAAAAGTGCACAATGACACTTAATATGATATTAACTACAAAAATTCCCATTGAAATAAGTACAACTACCTAAACTTATAAGTTATAACTACTTTAGCAACTTCCATTGCAAATGAATGATCATAAGTCATACTTTTACCATCCCATAGCAAATCAAAGAACGTCATATTTTGTGATTAAATATGTATTATTATTATATATATAATTTTAAAACTATATTTAATATGCATTTTTTATTGATAAAATATCTACACTTTGAATTCATAATTCAAATAATATTATTAAGGAATTGATGAATTTAAAAATTTATTATATTTTACTCTGATTAAGTGCTACCCTTTTTATCAAATTAAGATTAACACAAAAATGATTAGTCACATGATCTTATAAACTATATGTAAAAATAATAATTATGAAATTAATATATTTATTACTTTTGATTATATAAATAATAACTAATAAAATAAAATTTAGAATGGGTGATAATTATTTTTCTAGTGAAGAAAAAACACGAATCATTAATTTATATATTTAAAGTTAGAAACTTCGAGCTTTTCAAGTCCAATAATTATCAGATTAAATATAAACATACAAAGATTAGATAATCTAATATTGTGAATTAATTTACAAGTTTAAATAATAATTAAGTACTTTAATACCTACAAATGATGAAAAATTTATCAAAAAATCAGCTAAATTAAAATGGATTAAAATATATTTTGATAAATCTAAAATTTAATATTAGATTCATGAAGATTATTGCACTTATTTAATTTATAATAAAAAATCTATTCAAAATATTTAAGAAGATGAACAATAACACCGTAATGTTGGAAATGAGTTTGAAACTATTGTAACTAATTACATTAGTGACATCAATTAATTGTTTGGAGAAAAATTCTTAATAATTGATTAAAATTTACCATAAGAAATGTAAATGTAATTAAATGAACTTGAACTTAATCAAATAATAGAGATATTAAATGATTTAGATGAAATATTGTCAGAAGAAGAGATTTAAAGAATTAAACTTAAGATGAAATCAGAAATGTAAAATTTAATAGAAAAAGAGTATTAAAATTTAGTTACTATTATTAATACATAATATAAAGAATTTATATAGTAATCTTAAATAATACCATCTTACTAATCTTAAAAGTTAATGTATAGTAACTATGGTGATGGTTTAAAAAACTTATCTCAAATAGAAAATTAACTAATCATAAGAGAAATAGATGAAAATTAATTGAATAATCTTGAAATTGGACTCTACAATATTAAATTAAAAAAGAAAATGATCATTATACTTGAAATTACAAAAAAATAATAATAAAATGCATATATAATCAACTAATTTCAACATTATAAAAATGAATCTGCCATAATTGAATAAATTAAAACAAATTTTAAATGTTACTATTTAAGAACAATAAAGTTAAAAAAAATATAAGAGGTTTATTTAATTTGCAAATACCTAAAAAATAAGAAACTATTATAATAAAATAAAATCATGGAATTTTATCTGTAAGAAAGCTTTAAATAAATTGATGATGAAATAAATTAAAAAGTTCAAAATTTTTATTCTATTTAAAAAGATATTGCTAATTTTGTATAAAAAATTATTCCTGAATCATAAAATTTAAAAGATTTTTATTCAAAATATTTTGTTTAGAGATTGTATGAGAATAATAAATATGAATTTAGTCTAATAGAGAAAATATAATTTGTTTAAAATGTTAAGTCCTTAGAATATTAGCCATAAATCTTAGGGGCAGTACTAGAAAATGAAAATTAATTTACATAAGGAATAGTATTATATTTGTCAAGAAGAAAAATATATGTTTTTATGAATAAATCTTAAGGTCAATAATAATTAAGTATGGAATCAAATAAAAAAGTTAAAATAATTAATACTAAGGTTAAAGAAATTAATGTAGATGTTACATAATTTTATGTTTCATTGATACTCAACACTTAAAATAATAATGTTTTAAAATTGATAAAGTAATTTTTGGAATAAAAAAATCATGTTTGGATTAGCATTTTGAAGTTTTTAGACTGAATAATTTGATATAATATTTTATCGTTAAATAATGCATAATAACAATTCTTTTTTCTAGAATGACATTAGTTAATAGTAAATTGATTAAGCACTATTGAGATTGAATGCATTACTCAAGGATGAACCTCCAAAATTAGAAAAATAAAAGTTTAAAAAACCTATCCTAATTAATTAAGAAGATTCATCAAGTATAGTTTCATCATAACCTAACTATACATAGTAAACTAAAATGACATCTGAATAAATCAATCATTTTGTTGATAGAATGAATGATAAATTTAAACAGTAAATAGTATTTTAAAGTCATTCATAGAACTTAGAATAAAATTATTGAGCTAAGAAAAGATAAAATATATTCTCCAATTAAAGTCAATGAAAAGAGTTAATCAATTCTCAAATAAAAAATTCAAAATGGTGAATATTAATCATTATATGAAAGAGCTAAAATAAGATAAATTGAAAAACAAGAAAAAATCAAAGAAAATGAAAAATAAAAAATTTTAGAAGAAATGATGACTATTAAAACTAAATGTAGTGATTCAAAATCAGTAGATAATTTCTTATAAAAAATGGATTATTGGGTTGAAAAGAAGACTCTATATATATAAAATTAATAATAAGAAAAAATAGAAAAGGAATTGGAAGGAGTTACATTTAAACCTAATCTAAATCCATTATCCACTAAAATAGCCAAATAATAAAATAAAGATATTGATATATTAGAACGCTTTTAGAAATCAAATCAAAATAAATAAATGAATGAATAAAGATTATTAAAAGATGAACTAAAAAAAACACCATTTACACCTAAATTAAATAAAAATTCAATTCTTATTAATAATAAAGCTTAAAAATAATAATAATTCAAAAATCACAACTATTTCTTAAACTAATAAACATTAAATTAATCAAAGGAATCAAGTTTAATTAATTTCAATAGCATTAATCAAAAATAAATATCAATTGATACATTTAATTCAAAATAATCTAAATCCTTGACTCCAGATAATGTTCGTTCTAAATATTCCACTGAAAAAATTAAAGAAGATAACTCTATCAAAAAGAGATCAACAACTCCATTAAAACAAAATAAAATAATTCCTAATGTTTAAGAAATCAAATATAATCCAAATCTAAAGTTTTTAATGACATTAGCCTAAAAAGAATTGAATTATTCATCTTTATTTTGAGTCTAAAGATTCACTATCTCCAATATATCAAAAATCAATAATTTATATTTTTATTATTCAATTTTTATTTAATAAGAATACTATTATCTAAATATATATTCTTATTTATAATAATGATTTGTATATATATAGAAAGAAACTATAAATAGTAAAATAAACAAAAATGAAACAAAAGTTAAAATACTAATTAAATATACATCATTTTATTATAATATAACAAAATCCATCTGGATTTATGAATGTTGATACTAATAATCTAACTGGGAAATCTAAATTTATTTATAAACCTAAGACATTGATATTTAATTCATTATAATTTAAACTCTAAAATAATATTTGATAATATACATCTTCAAAAATTGGTTATATAATATTTAATAGAGTTTCTTTAACATCTTTTAAAACATGGGATCTTTAAATCATATTTCCATCAATAAATATTCTTATTGGAATACTTATTTATTATTCTTTTTTCAAAGTATTTAAATCCCAGATTTTGTCAAAGAATTCATAAAATTAAGGTCTATAATTATGATCAGAATAATTTTAGAACATTTTATATTATTATTCTATAGTAATAGTTTAAAAGATTTATTTTTCCCATTTATGACCATATCTAATCATGCATGCCTATTTTAAATTCCAAAAATATCTATTCTTTATATCAACTTAAATGTTCTCTGATATAGGTAACACATTTTCTGGTCTTTTTTTAAAATGTACAATAATTTCTACTTCTTCATTAATTTTATCTATTTGAACAAAAAAAGGAAGATGCCATTAAATTGGTTAATCATTATATGATAACCATAAAGAGGATCTAACTTTATTTGAGAATCTTATAAAATGATTGTAAATTGATTCAAAATAGAATCCAGGATATTTATTATTGTAAATAATGCAAACAAAGGGTATGATTTGTGTTTTATCATCAACATCTTAGAGGATAAATTTTCCTAGAAAAGATTATTCATTAATTTATTTGCGAATATCTTCTAAACTAATTTCTTCTTAGTGTTAATTTTCCATACTTTAATATTAATATAATATTTATATTCACATATTCTAAATGATCAAACATATATAATTATTTATAATTATTCTATTCTATAATTATTAAAATGAACTAAACATAGTAGAATTGTGAATTTTATGAATCTTAAATGAAATATAAATATGAGAGTTTATAATTTTATTAAATAAAATAATACTTCAATATGAATAAAAAAATAATAAAATCAAGAATAGGAGAAGATTTAAATATTTTAAAAGATGCTTGGTTTTATTAATATGAATAATAAATTAGAAATTTGTGAGTATTAAAATAAATATTTTAATGATATTAGAATATTAGAGAATGTGAATTTGAAGAGCTTGTGAATATATTTAGTTTAATATAAGTTTGTATTCTATTGTTTATCAAAATTGGGTGAGAAATTAAATCTTTTTTTAAAATATAAAAAAATGGTTAAAAACTCAGCATAAGACCCATAAGATAATTCACTCTAAATGAAAGTAATTGATTAAAGTGCTATTGATTTAGATTAGATAATATTTGGTTTCAGGAAGAAGACTTCCATCTAAAGAAGACCCAAATCCAAAAGTGATTAGTATGAGAATCTTTGCAAGAAATACAGTTGCTGCTAAAAGCAGATTCTGGTATAGCATGATTTAATGGTTAGGTGGAATTTAAGAAGACTTAATAAACTCAAACCATCACATGGATAGATCTTAGCAGTATAAGAATTATTTGAAAGAAGAGACACAAATGTTAAAACATATGGAATTGTTCTTAAATATTAATCAAGAACAACTATTCATAATATGTATAAGGAATTCAGAGACACAACCTTAAATGGAGCAGTCTCTTAATTATGTAATAATATTTGCTGAAGAATATTTTAGATTAAGAAATGGCTGGAAATCATAGAGCTTAACCATAAACAATTCATATTCTCNGGTAACACATTTTCTGGTCTTTTTTTAAAATGTACAATAATTTCTACTTCTTCATTAATTTTATCTATTTGAACAAAAAAAGGAAGATGCCATTAAATTGGTTAATCATTATATGATAACCATAAAGAGGATCTAACTTTATTTGAGAATCTTATAAAATGATTGTAAATTGATTCAAAATAGAATCCAGGATATTTATTATTGTAAATAATGCAAACAAAGGGTATGATTTGTGTTTTATCATCAACATCTTAGAGGATAAATTTTCCTAGAAAAGATTATTCATTAATTTATTTGCGAATATCTTCTAAACTAATTTCTTCTTAGTGTTAATTTTCCATACTTTAATATTAATATAATATTTATATTCACATATTCTAAATGATCAAACATATATAATTATTTATAATTATTCTATTCTATAATTATTAAAATGAACTAAACATAGTAGAATTGTGAATTTTATGAATCTTAAATGAAATATAAATATGAGAGTTTATAATTTTATTAAATAAAATAATACTTCAATATGAATAAAAAAATAATAAAATCAAGAATAGGAGAAGATTTAAATATTTTAAAAGATGCTTGGTTTTATTAATATGAATAATAAATTAGAAATTTGTGAGTATTAAAATAAATATTTTAATGATATTAGAATATTAGAGAATGTGAATTTGAAGAGCTTGTGAATATATTTAGTTTAATATAAGTTTGTATTCTATTGTTTATCAAAATTGGGTGAGAAATTAAATCTTTTTTTAAAATATAAAAAAATGGTTAAAAACTCAGCATAAGACCCATAAGATAATTCACTCTAAATGAAAGTAATTGATTAAAGTGCTATTGATTTAGATTAGATAATATTTGGTTTCAGGAAGAAGACTTCCATCTAAAGAAGACCCAAATCCAAAAGTGATTAGTATGAGAATCTTTGCAAGAAATACAGTTGCTGCTAAAAGCAGATTCTGGTATAGCATGATTTAATGGTTAGGTGGAATTTAAGAAGACTTAATAAACTCAAACCATCACATGGATAGATCTTAGCAGTATAAGAATTATTTGAAAGAAGAGACACAAATGTTAAAACATATGGAATTGTTCTTAAATATTAATCAAGAACAACTATTCATAATATGTATAAGGAATTCAGAGACACAACCTTAAATGGAGCAGTCTCTTAATTATGTAATAATATTTGCTGAAGAATATTTTAGATTAAGAAATGGCTGGAAATCATAGAGCTTAACCATAAACAATTCATATTCTCAGAACATCAGTTTTAACAAAGAGTGCTGATATCAAGAGAGGAAAGACTAATTAATACAGAGTATATATATAAAATTTAGTATTAGGGTGATTCAATCAAATTCCCAATTGTCAAAACAGTTCCAAGAGCTAGTCACAAAAAGTTTAGAACAGTATTCAAAGCCAAAAGACCAAACCTCTATAGATCATGAACATGATATTTTAGTACAATAATCATCATATAATAATATTTAATATTAAATAATAAATTTGTGTTTAATTAATCATAATCAATATATAACTATCTATACATTATTTTTTGTAAATATTTCTGAAAATATAAACTTTATTTAAAATATAATTTATAAAAAATACAAATATTATCTCTTAATTCTATTTTTACTTAAAAATTCCAAGCAAATTAATAATTATAACATATTATCATTATTTATTAATCAATTTTTTGAAATTAGGTAATTTTTAAATAGGTTCTTAAAGATTGTTTATCTAATTGGATAAAGATCCGGAAAGAGATTAAGTTTTCATCTAATTCAAATAATTTAAAGCTTCACATGCACTTATTCTTTTTTAAGGATTTTCTTCTAACATTTAAGCAACAAGAATTTTGTAGTAATTTTGCTTTATTTTTGAAAGTATTTAATTATTAACAATAAAATTTTTATTATTTGCTATAATTTCTTTTTAATTTTCTCCTATAATTAATTTTAACCCAGTCAACCTAATATTATTTTTAATATGTACATTTAATATAAAATGGCTCCACAAGCAAAGATATCTAATTTTTCAGATAATTTTTATGAATAATCAAACATTTCGGGTGCCATATATCCAGGTGTTCCAAATTTCATATCTTTATCTTATTCCAAATCCTATAACTTTTTTGCAATTCCAAAATCAATTATTTTTAATTGGGAAAATTAACCCAAATCATTAAATAAAATATTATCAGGTTTTATATCTCTATGCACAAATCCATTTTTATGCATGTAATTAATTGCCTCCAAAATTTACTAATATTCATTACAATATCTATTATACATGTATTATGATTTCCACCTCTTAACTATTCAATTTACAATATTTAAGACATTGATTGAGTGAACCACCTTTTAGATATTAAAGTATAATCTAATATTCAAACTCGGATTCATACACTTGGATTAACTTTACAATATTTTAATGAGTCAGTTATTTCAAGGTTTCAACTTCATTTTGAAATAGCTACAATAAAAACAAATTATACCTATTAAGAATATTTTTTCAGTTTTTTCAACTCCTTACAAGCAAAAATTTATTCATTATCAATTCTTTAGATCAATTGAATCTTCTTTATAAATATAATAAAAATACAGAGCTCTATTAGTTGGATTCTAATATTTTAATTGGTTTAAAAAAGAGATCCATATTACAATAAGTAACTTTTCCATCCATATATTCTTTAACTCGTAACAAGACATTCTAATCTGCATAAAAAAATCTCCTTTATCCCTTCCAAAATATAGCAAAGGCTATTAGTTTTTGATTGTCTTCATTTACTTTCCAATCAATCACAGTTTGCAAATTCATTGGGATAACATACTTGATCTTTTAAGTAGACTTTAATATTAACCAAATTATTACTTCCCCAATATCAATGCTCTCCTGTTTTAAAGTGATAATATAACTTTTATCGAACAATAAGTGCTTTCTTATGCAATACATCAATTTGAATATTAATGAATTTCGATTAAAAGATTCTATCCACTCTTAAAAAGAGGCTTCTTATTTCAGTAATAAACTAGTAGAGCATTTTATAGAATGAAAAACTAATATGGCCACTAAAGAAATAAACAAACACGTTTAGAAGATGTATCCAAATTTCTATAACCCATTTAAAAGATTACATGAAAAATAATCAACTTTTTTGATTACCTTCATCTAAAAATCATGAGATAATAAGTGAATAAGACAGAAATCAGTTAAATTGAATAAGAAAAAACTTAAACTATGATTTTCTAATCACAACATATATTGTATTGATTATAGAATCTAATAAAAAAATACATTAGATTTATGAATATTGTTGAAAATGGATGAGTAGGTGTCAAAGATTTCAGGAAGATTACTACTCAGTCATTATCATTTAATTAATATAAATTTTAGGAAATTGATTAACAAATTTTATAAACTCAAGGGAAGAATTCACCTTTTATAAACTTCTACATAAAGATTTCTGATTCCTCTCTTTTGTCTAATGGTACCATATGTCCAGCATTTCTAATTGTCAATAATGTGAGTCCATCCAAATCCATAACATAACCTGCATTTTAGTCTGGATCAACTTCTCTCTTTGCAGGAACAAACCATGGTCTCCAAGGTTTCAAAGTAGCCAAATCTTCAAATTATAATAATATAATACATAATTCTTTCTACAATTTATCAATCCAAAACATTGTTCCTGTTAGGGGGACAACTGCATCAACATCACCACTAAATTTCAAAATTCTAATTTAATTTTTAAGGATTTTTTAATATAGATAGTAAGATCCTTTAGGATTTACTTTATATTATCCCAAAGTTCTTGAACAAACAGCCCATTAAGCAGATTCTTGTCTGATTTTTAGGAGCTAAAATTATAACTAAATATTACAGTTCTGACTTCAGCAGATCTTAAATGATGATATAATCCTTGTACATCAGCACAAGGAGGAACATCAGATTCCTCATTTAGTGATCTCATACCACCAAATTTTTAACTCATCTTACTACCTTCTGGAGTGTAAGTAAAACAATAGCCATAAATATTATAAGGATTGAATTTAATATTATCTTCCTTTTTTCCACTAACCTCAACTTCAACTCTATCAGCTAATTCTTTACATTTTCCATCTTTGATTCCATAACATTCATTTTAGACTGCCAATATTTTTTCATATAATTCTTCACTAATAAAATTGTGACGACCATAAAATTTATAAACATGAATTTGGAATGGATCAGCTTCATCTGTACATTCAGTAGGATCAGTACAACCATTTCCTATTGCCAAACCTTATAAATTAATGCGATTATCAGCAGCTTATAGAGCATTATAATCAATGATTTCATTGGCCAAAGTTGGGATGTAGATTCCAGCATATGATTCACCTGAAATGAAGAATGGCAATTTTTTATATTCTGTAAACCTGCTAAAAAAGTCAACCAACGCATTGATGTTGTATTTTGCTGTAGATTCGTCTGATTATTCACCTTATGGACCATATGAAAATCCTACGGTAATTGGAGATTCAATATAGAGCATATTGGCCTTAAATATAAGATATTGATTTGTTACAAAATTTGTCCAAGAATACTAGTTCATTTCAAATTCAGCTGTTCCTGCTTTAAAAACAAATGGACCATTCTCATTAAATGCACCTTATAATGAAGAGCATCCAGGACCACCATTCAACCAAAGAATAACAGGCTTCTTTAAGGCATCAACTGGTGCTGGGTAAAACATATAATGAAATTATGCTGTTCCTTCAGTATTTGCTTTAAGATAGCCTGAATAACTAAAAATACTTATGTAGAATCTTACACTAATCCATCGTAATTTATTTTAAATAATCGATTTAGTTCATTCTAATCGACTTTATCTCCTTCATCAACTAAAACTTAAAGTGCAAAAGATATGGAAAGTAAACCCAAGAATATAACAAAATTGTTCATTCTTTATTTTTAATATTTTGTTCTAAATGATGATTTAATTGCATATGTAATAATAATTATTAATATATTTGTAATGGGAAATGGTACATTTTAATTTATATTTAAAAAGATGCTTTGAGCTCCTGTACCAAAAAATAAAAATCCTCCTTAATTTAAAGAGAATCTAATATAACAATAAGTAGACAGTTTAATTAAACTATATGTTCAATATTATAAGGAGATATATTTGTAAGTGGATTAAATATAAGTATTATATTTGTCTATTGTAGTCAATTGTTCATATGAACCTGCAGATTCATTAATTGTTAAACAGTATTTTATTTAAAATGATATCTTTAGAGATCAGAATATTAAAAAGAGTTAGAGGGATGAGATTAGAGCAAGTATATTCTATGTTCAATTTAGTGCATGTTGGAGATGTTTTATTAACAGAAAGATAGAATCTATTCCTACTTCATGCTAAATTACCGATGTATTCCGAGATCAAAGATTTATAAAAAGTGTATTCAACTTATGAAAAATGGTATCTATATATAAATAATATCAAGTTTGGAGATTGCAGATGAAAATATTTTATCAGAAATTACTTTTACAGAATAAAATGCTTTAAATTTTGCTATTCCAAAATAGTACAATGCAGAATGTTTAATTAGATGTATAATAAATCATATTAGTTTAAATCCTTAAACTAATTTAAAATAAATTAATTTTCTTAGTAATGATTATACAACTGTAAATTAAATCAAATATTTGTTTTAGATTAACATATTTAAATTAGAATTAGATAATATATTAGAAGAAATGAAAGTGCCTAATTTGGCAGAGAAAAATAGAAAAACATTTTTTGAATTTTTAAATTCAACTAATTGTGAAGAAGCTCCATATTTTCTAAGTACAGGCTTAACAACAAGTTTTGTCCATTTAACTGAGAAAATTTCTGAGTGATGATGTGAATATATTTATTCTCTTATAAATTGTAAAAGAATTTAAAGTTATTGAATTTAGTACTAATATTCATTATCAACAGTTTTTCATTTTATTTTTTCCATAAAATTGATAAAATGATCATAAGTAAACTAATAAATATAAAATTATATATAAATACTCTCCATTTTAAACAATGTTTTTCGAACTCTTTATTTAATGATTACTAATCAGTTTACATAAGTTTGACTATACTTTTTTTACTTATATACTAACTCTTATTTGATAATATTTAGAATCCTTTTCTTAAATTTTCAATAATAAGAACTCTACTTAAATTGCTATTCATTATTAAAAAATCTTAAAATGAAATTTATTCATTAGATTCTATTAATTATTAATAATCTGATCCAACATTTTAATCTTAAAATAAATCTTATAATAATTTGCATAGACTAACAAGATTTAAATTATTATCTTCATTTTTTTCTAAAATATCATAAATCTTTTTCATTATTAAAAATTAATGAGGAACAAAAGATTAAATCAAATAAAAAGTAAAGCACTTTTATAAATAATTAATTTTTTTATGAAGATTTTATGGTATTAATTTAACTTGATGCAATTTTAAGAATTCATAATTTCCAGATTAAACAAACTTATTTTCTTTTATCTAATCTATTTTTATTCTTTATTATGGTGCCAATTATAACATTGCTAATATTAATGATCTTAAATTGATTCCAATTATATTTTATGGAAGTTTTAAATTAGATTTTATTGATTCTAACCATAATTCATTATCTAAATCCTTATAATTATTAATTTTTGTAGTATTCAATTTTACAATCATAGAGTATATTATTAATCCTATCTACCATATATCTAATTCTGATGATTTATTTTTATCAATTACATCAAAATTTGTACTACTATATTCTCTTTTCTTTAAATGAAATATTCCATTTAAATTAGTTAATTTTAGATAATGATATTTCGAATTCACAAAAAAATGAAATGATTACATGTCTAAATTGTTATGATATAATTATTTAGAATGAAGATGGCTTACAATAGAAATGATTTATGAAACTAATATTGAAATTTATTCCAAATTTAAATCTTAATTTTTATCTACATAATCTTATAAGCTTTCTTAAGAACAATATTCAAAGTATAATTTATCTTTTTATTATGATTCTTCATTTTCTACTTCTAAAATTTCTATTATGTGAGGATGAGTCTAAACTTAAAATAAAATTTACAAGTGCACTTTTATTCAATCTAATATTACTTGAGTGAATTGTTTCTTCACCTTAATCAGCGCAACTAGTATAATAAATTCTTCCAGTAAATTTATTTACAAAGTATTTATAAATACATTTATCTGCTTTATTCAATTCTTCAGAAAGAATGAAATCACTTTCTTACAATTTATTCATTTCAGCATTTCTTTTGCTGATTAATAGTGTTTAATGTGATCTTATACTTCTAGGAGATGATATAAGTTTTTCTTTTTGCATCTAATAACTTTCTAAAATCACTGTCAGTTAATGTTAAGCGCTATTAGGTTAAGACAAATTTCCAAATCTATTATTTCTTTAAAAATGAGTATCAGGTGATGATTGTTACTTTGAACCTATATTTTAAATTTTCTAGATTATTTGTTTTTGCTTACATTGTTCTCACTTTATGATTTACTATTTTTTTAGGAGTTGGTTTTTCCACTACATAATCCCATTTGTTAAATAACTAAAATATAAAATGATTAAATATAGGATTTAAAACATAAAAATAAATTATGCTCACTTCTTTGATTATTATTAAATAAATAAAATAATTTATATTTAATCAACCTATATTATACTGGAAATTAAAAAAATCTTAGCTTATTATTATTCTAGTTCTCAATTATATAAAGAATATAATTGCTAATTAAAATCATAATTCATCATCTATTTATATATTTAATTTAAATATTAAATTAACAAGCGATAAGTTATAACCAAATAGTTTTATTATTTTTGGATAATTTAGTGTCCATTAAAAAATAACCTTTGATATAAATAAATAATGAATTATCATAATTAAATAATCGATACATTTTATTTTAATTAAATACATAATTAATATTATGTGTTTAATTATCAACAAAAAGTACATAAATTGCTTCTATTGTTTTTAAGAGAAACTATTTTTTATAATAAAATAGAAATTAAAGAATGATATTTTTCGATATAAATATATAATTATTCAGGTCGGTTTTAAACAAGATAATCAAAGCTTGTTGCTTTATTATCTTATAACTACATTCGAAGTAATTATATGAGAATGTACAAATCAAATATTGTAATAAATAAACAATCCATTTCACTTCTCTTTGTTATTTTTATTACAATATTGAATAGATTAAGTACATTCAATAATTAAATTTATCTTACTTCTTCAAATGGTAATTTTATTAGCAGAATAATAGAAAGTGATAATGTTTGAAAATAATGTAAAATGTTAAATGCTAATATAGTATATGAATTATTACCTCTTTAATTTATTGAAAATTCACCTTTTATAAAATGCAAGTACTTTATAATGAAGCCTTTAAACTAATCCTAAATTTAATGAAGACTTCAATAATGACTTTAATTTTTGTATTTTATTATTTTTTTGAACTAAATAATTCAAATGAAATTCCTTCAAGGAATATAAAATCCTAAGAATTAAACTGATAAATACCCTAAAAAAGAAAATGCATAGCTTCTCTTGTTAAATTATTATTTATAAAATATAATAATAAATATTCATAATAATTCTGAATCAATTATGCATTAGAATAAAATTTAAATCAAATAACAGAAAACTATACAATTTTCAAATGTTATATTTTGTAACACAAATTCATAGATCGATATTGAGGTTTTCTTTTGTAAGGAGGAACTTTAAAGTATGGAGCTAAAGAATCATGTGAGATCTAATCATAATCAATTTGATGAGTTTCACTAAATTCACCTTCAAACTCATTATCGTTTTCATTTACCATCGCATCATATTCTGCTTGACATTTTTTATAAAACTTTCTGTACTATCTCCAGCAATACTAAATTAAGGTTTCATCGATATTTTAGTCTAAAGGTTCAACTTCATAGAGCATTTTATTAATTAAATTTGGCGCTAAATATCTATGTTATTTTGTTGAATGAATAGCAAAACTTTTTGTATCGTTGCTAGTAAAGAATTCAATATTTAGATTCTTTTTGCATTTTTACTCAAGTTTCATTGTCTTTTTTAGTTATTTCATTCCACTCAAAATTTGTTAAATATTTTTGAAATCTGTGTTTTTATCATGAATAATTTTGCATTAGTATATGTTATATTTCTATTAAGGAGGTTTAAGGTTATTTTCTAGAATTCATATTTTAAGAATACTTTTGAGTGCTTCTTCTTCAAGGAGTAGCCCATTTTTATTACAATATTTCAAATAGTCATATATGTCAGTGAACCCTAGTGACTCAAGATGTTTGATGAATAGGAATTCATTTTAAACACAGCTTTAATATATAGGATCTTAGATTAATTGTTCATATAATGATTAATGTAAAGGTCCATTTTTTCGTTTTCTCAATATTCTTTCTGTAAGTCCATCAAGGGGTTTATTCTATAGCGAATCCTCTTCATGTTCTTATTAAGAATCGGTCAGATCTATTATATTACCGGGAAAATTAAAATCAGTCTTAAAAACTTGTTCCATTTATTTGAGTATTAATTAATAATTAATTAATTATGTTTATATATATGTTTAAAATTATACTTCACTTCTAGTTAGATATTTATTAATTGATGTGAACAGGTTTAATTGTAACAGAATTGTTATTATTGTTATTATTATTATTATTATTATTATTATTGTTATTGCTATTATTGTTATTACTATTATTATTATTATTATTATTATTATTATTATTGTTATTGTTATTATTATTATTATTAGTATTATTAGATTATTATAGTCTTTCGGATGTCATCTCATTTCCTGCATTCTTCAAAGATTCAACTATATCTTCCAAATTAGGTAATGGCTTCAAATCCTGTGTGATTAAATTTGTTATTTTTAGTTCTTTTAACATGAATTTGGATATGACCCTCACTGATTTCCATGCATAATCTTTCAAATTTTTACATCTTTCATTGTCAGCAATTTTGCGACTCTGGTCTAATTAATAAAACACTTCATTTAAATAATAATTTAATCCAGGTTCAATAGGATTAGTTTCAATTTTATAAGGTCTTCCCTAATCTTGGAGAATGTACTCAAATGCATCTGTTTATTTATATTTGAGATCATCATATATTCTCTTCTAAATTTCTTGTCTTTTTTTTTTGGCTTTCTCAGATGCTTTAATACTAAGCTTTTCATATCCATCATCAAAGCATTGTTTTTCTGTCACCCAAAGTCGCTGAGATATAATAATAGAATACCCAAGTTCGTTCTGTATCAATTAAATGTTAAACTTTTTCTCCTAATTTATCTCCTAATTCATCTAATTATTTTTGAACTTCAATTTTCAAGTTTTATATAAATTATTTCTAAAATATTAACAGGATTTCAATACTTCTTGATTTTCAAGCTCAGCTACAAAAATAAACAATAAAACTTAATTTAAGAACAATTTTCTAAAGTAAGGATCATTTAATTAATTTTTGAATAAAGAATATTTTGTTAGAAACTTAGGAAACCTTTTAACAGTTATGATTTCAGGTTCAATAGGATTCTCTTTGAAATATTGCAATGCTCTCATTATTACTTTTATGACAGCTTAAAGATTTTTAGTTCTTTATGGTTCAGATACTCCTTATGATACTTATCCAGCCTCTTCTCCTAATTCATCAAATTCTACCTTGTTTCTAAATATTAATTCAGAGTTATTAAGGTATTTTTATAAAGTCCAAAAATTTTTATAAAAGGAATATGGCAATGATGCATTAACTTTGACTGCTTCTTCATCAAATCCTCTATCTCTTACATTAATTGGTTTCTTTCTTAAAGAGGGATGAATAGTTGAGAATATTTGGGTCAAGAATATTTAAACTTATCCTCTTAAAAAAGTGTCATGTGTTGTTGATAGTCTTTTTAGCATAGAATTACAAATTCTCAACAAAACATATTTATTCTCATCCTAGAATTTTGATATTGTGGATATCTAACTATATAAATTATTAAAGTAATCCTAAAGTTCTGAAAGAGACAAACACTCATAGATATCCTCACTAAAAGCTTAAATTAGTTAAATTATATACTAAGTGGATAAGATTTAAGATCTGGTACTTCTTTACAAATTGAATAAGATAATTCAGCCAAAAAAATATTTACTTTTAGAAGTTCTAATAGATCCTCATCTAGAACTTTTTTACTAGTCAATTTCTATCTATTAACTTATATTCTTACTAATTTTTGATGCAAATAGTCTCTACAATTTTTAAGGAAAGATAAATAAAATGGTTACAATTAATCTGCGGATTCTTCCTCATGGAGTTTTTACAATTTCTATTTTATTATTTCTGTGTGTCTCACTTTGAAATTTAAAATGTACGACTATGAAATATTCAAATAATACTTCAATTTCCATTTGTTTAAATTCACTCATAATAAGAATGTTTTTTAAATAAAAATAATTTTTATATTCTAATATAAATCACCTACGACCGAAATGACTATCTCCAGCAAATCCAAATTCATCTTATTAAGCTAAGATTTTTTAATTCTTTGGATGTGGATTATCTGCACTTTATTATCTTTTATTCCATTCAGCTAAAGCTTAATGTTTAGTAACCGGATTTTCTCTATCATAATCTGTATCAAAGCTTGCACTTCCTTCAGCATATGGTTTTATCTAAATAAATAAGGATTATATACTTCCTCATTGTTTTCAACAGGGAAGAGATATTCAGATATGTCTTCCATTGGCAACTATTAATATAATATTGCCAAAACGATAAGTAAAATATCTATTTTGCTAACTTCTTTGAAAAAAGTGTATGTCATTATCATTTCTCCAAAAGCACACCATGCAATAATGTATTCTAACATTTCAATCATTTCTAAGAATAAATCAACATATATCTACCTGTCGAGAGCTATATACTTATAGATTCTTTAACAGTTCTCCTTCTAAGAATGTTATAATAATCTACAAAATAATAGATCAGAATTCCAAAAGCACTAAATAATGTACCTAATGGTATTGCTGTACCGTACATAAATGTAAACCACATAGTTTTCATTACATCTGAATAACGTTTTGCTGAAAGATAATCTGGTTCTTCCATCAATTTGTTGGCCTCTTATTAAGTTAATAGTGCTTTATCACCTTTTGACATAATATATTTTCTCCAAATATTCTTACATAAACTCCATGGATCTACACACCAAATAAATGGAGGAAAAATTGCATTAAGAACAAAGATTTGACTTTCATTTTATATGAAACCTCCAGCTCCTTTAACATTCTTTAAAATAACAATGTCCACTAAAAAACTAATAATTGCTGCATTTAAAAATAATGCTAATGCATATTTATAAACGAAAGATATTTAGAATTTTGTTTTATTTGATATTTTTTCATCATCAACAATATAATGAACAATTTTAGCTACTCCAAATTTATTGAATAATACAATTGTCATGGATATACTAAATGACATTATATTTATTTTTCTTTTAGTATCTTAATCTAATTTTCCTTTTAATTCTTCTTCATGTGCTTCATCACCCAATAAAGCTAATCGATGAGATATTAAATATATAATGAAAAAGGCAGCACTTTCAAATAAAATATAATATACCCAAGCTCTTACTCTTTTAAATATCTTCTCACTAGTAGTAATATGAATAAATTCCCAATCTACATCATTTGGTTCAGGTGCTTGTTCTAAAAATAATTTTTAGCCATGCCATTATAAATCATTATTAGTGAGACTTTTTAATTTGCCTCTATTGATATGAGATCTCATTCTTTCCCATTAAGTATGAGGATTATCTTATAAAACTAATTATTTCATAGATTCATCATCAAAAGATATGAAGGCAATTCCTGAAAAATTTGTATTATGAGTTTCATATTCTTCCTCAATCTTATGGATTTAATGTTCTAAATGTTCAATTTCTTCATCAATCTTTTTAACACTTTCATGATGAAAATTAAAATTTGATTATTTTATCGCATCTTTTTTTGATTATAATAATTAATCTAATTTCTTTTCAAGTTCAATTATTTCTTCTATATCATAAACTAAAACTACTTTTCTAACTATAATTTATTTAGTTGAATCCAAAATGGAATAATTTTCAAATAAATTTTTTAGTTCATATTTATAATCCACACTTAATCCTGTTGGAATATTCTTAACACATATAGTATAATCTGCAGGTGTCAATTGCTCTTCATCAATAGTAGTATCAATTTATCTTTGGCTTTTTCTAAAATATATCAGAACAAACATAATTATGAAAATACTAATAAAGTTTAAGACTTGCATCATTTCAAGGGCTTCTCGGTTACTATTTTAAGTATTTTAAATTACTCAAGTTTGTTAGCCAAAGATAGTCTTAAAAATATACTGTCTGGACAATATGGTTCTTCTATTATATGTCCTTCCATCTTTTCTCTTTTTATATGACTGCAATAAGAACCATTAAAGTTAGTATATAAATTATGTAGTTATTTAACTAAAAGTTAAATAAAGAGGATAATTATGCAATATCTGAGATAGTTATAAAATAACGTGAAACCTGATCCTAAAAAAGATAAAGCCATAGGATCTGAACAATAAGGAATATCTTCTCTATCTACTTCAAATCCACAACAAGGACATGTTTCAACTATTTATTCATAACCAAATTCTACTTTATAATGTTTTCAGAGGATCCTTCTTTTTTTCTTATGCCGTTCGTCTTGACAATGCATGTTTTCTTGCTATTTCCCAATCACAAGGCATTTTTAAAGGGTTGTAATGATTCTCATGATGATCATTGCTTGCATGATGAATCTCATGATGTCCATCCATATGACCATGATTCGAATGTTGATGATGAGACTAATCATTGTGCAAATGTTAATCTTGAGAAGGCTTTATTAATAAATTTATAGACTTACTTATGATTATTTTTGCATTTCAGGATGTGATTATTATTGTTACTAATTTAGTATTAAAAACTTTTACTTTTGATTAATTACTTTAACCATGTATTTCTTAGTCATGCGAATCAATCTAATTATTTGCATGAGACTAATGCTAATTATAAGATGATTAATTCATTCTATTTAGATTAATTTTATTGACAGATATACACATATATAAAAAACCATTCAAAATCAATATTCTAAAGTACCAAATTACATTCACTCAAGTTCTATTAACTAATATAGCAAATTTATTTGATAATCTACATTTATTTTTGGTTTGGCTAAAGTATCACCAATTTATACAATGTTCTTTGAAATCTGAATTCTTTTTGCTTATAATTATTGTATTTAAATATTATTTTGAATTTATTAATTTCTAGGCAAACTTAATTTCAAATTACATTATCAAGTTTTATAATTTTTCTGTTCATAAACACTGATGTTACTCATAATTGATATTTTGTTGATATTTATAATAAACATGAAAATGTTCTGAGATGTTCAATTTTCATTTGTTTATATAATTATATCAAAAATTTGTTCAATACATTAAAATATATTGTAATGTAATTCTCATTAATATTCAGATTTTCAGATAATAAAAAAAAACATGAAAAATGAAATTTCAAAAGAATTTATTTAAATATCTAATTTTTAAAATAAATCCTCTTGTCTTATCTAATTTGCAGTGCATAGTTTAATTTTTGGAGTATAATATAATTAGTATTTAATTTTAATTAAATAATAATATTAATATTTATATTTATGTAATAAGAGTTCAAATTGCCATAAAAGATTATTTAACTTTATGCAAAATATTAGAATAAATCTCAGAAAGTGAAAAAATTTCAACTATAAGAACATACATTTATGTTAGAAGACAATTATTCACCAGTTGAAATAAGTAATAATTATTTTATTATTTAAAGTCGGTAGCGGTGCTTATGGATGTGTTATTTAAGCTGATGATAAAAATGCAAAGGCTGAAAAGGATAGATAAGTTGCTATTAAGAAAATTGAAAGAGCATTTGAACATAGATTATATGCTAAAAGAACTCTAAGAGAATTAAAGATTCTTAGGTTGATGAAACATGAAAATGTATTTATGATGTTTGTGATATAGATCGTGGAATTAAAAACTTTGCTACTTCCAAAATCTAGAGAAGAATTTGAAGATGTTTATATGGTTACTGAATTATTGGAAACAGATCTGGCCTAAGTAATAAAGAGTGATTAAGTATTAACAGATGAACATATCTAATTATTCTTATATTAAATCCTTAGAGGATTGAAATATTTACATACTGCAGGAATATTGCATAGAGATTTAGTAAATATTTGTACAATCAAATTAGAAACCAAGAAATTTATTATTAAATAGAAATTGTGATTTAAAAATCTGTGATTTTGGATTAGGTAGAGCAATGGCTGATCCTTCTTCTTCAAATAATGCAAATATTATGACTTACTATGTTGAGACTAGATGGTATAGAGCACCAGAATTGCTAGTAAGTTTCAAGAATTATACTCCTGCAGTTGATATATGGTCGGTTGGATGCATTTTGGCAGAATTGTTATTAAGAAAACCTTTTTTAAGAGGAGATTCCAGTATTTTCATTTTAAATATATTAAGCTAAAAGATAAGTCAAGTTAATATTTGAATTATTGGGTACACCAAATGAAGCTTATATTTAATCATTTTAAGATGAAAAAGTTTAAAATAATTTAAGAAAAGTCATTAAAGAAACAGGACCGAAATAAGGTATCCCATTAGAGTAATTATTTAAAAATGCTTCTAAAAATGGTAATAATGTACAATCATTACTGAAGCTTTGGATTTATTAAGAAAACTGTTGACATTTGATTATAGATAAAGAATCACAGTTCAGTAAGCCTTAGAGCATCCTTATTTAGCTCAATTGCACTTTGAAGCAGATGAGCCAAGTGCTTAACTTGTTAATCAATTAGAATTCGAATTTGAAAAGTATGAAATGACCAGAGAACAAATTAAAGGTATATTTAAATATTTAAATTAGATCTTCTTTATGAGGAAATACTATTATATCATTTTCCTGAATTCTAAACATCTTATGAAGCTAAGAAAAAGTCAGGATAGAGTTTGATATCACATGTAGTAAATAATGAAAACGCTAAAATTGTAAATAAATTATTTAATTAAAGTTTGATCCCACAGCTGATGATGATTTAGATAGGGATTGAATATAATATTATGATAAATTCAATATTATAGTAAATTAGTTGTATTTAATCTATTCACATAATCCATATCGGTTTTACTTAATGCAGTGGGTAATCCAGTCTAAATTTCCTATTATCATTATTAAAGAAATTCCAATCTTTCCCTATTTTAGGATTTCATTTCTCAATTTTTTCGTTTGTAATCCTTCTTTCTATTTATAGTTTGAAATGATTTAAGTGTATAATTGAAGTAAAAGCTTTCTTTTAAATAGAAAGTTTAATTCTTATTTTAATATCTGCTTAAATTTCAATTTCAATATGGAAATCTATTTATAACTTTTTGGTGACTTTATTTATTAAAATAAAAAGTATTATAAATAGAATCTAAGTCTTTAGCTTTGGTGCCTTCTCCTAAAAAACAATTCATAAACTCTTGTGTAAAGATCTTTATTAGGCCAATAATTTTTATAGAAAGCTCAATTTATTCATAACCCTATAGAAAATAAATTTTTCACAAGAGTTCATTAATTCATTTAAATTAGATGCTATGGATGCTTATCAAATTTAGATCATTTTCAATCTACTTGTAAATTTTAGCCAAAATAAAACTATTTGGGCTATAAATACAAAAATGGCATCATCATTTTATATGTTATTAACTTTTGATTATTGTGTATAGATTATCAGAATATTATCAATTAATAAGTGCATTAAATCATAATTCTTCATCTTCTTTTTGATCTGGCTTTAATAATTTATTAGGATTTTGAATTCTATTATACAAAAGGTTCATCCTTATCAAAATTTTTAGCTTCCAATATTTCACCAAACATATTCACAAAATTGTCTACTATCACCTAATTAGATATGAAATTCTTATATTATATTCCAATTATTTTTTCAAATAATCTTTATTATTCATTAATTAATTTTATGGAAGACTTTGTGCCATCATTGAATAGTTTAGTCAAATATTCAACACCTGTTTTAGTATCTGTAGCTGGAAAAAACACTGGTATAAAAGTAATAATAACAAATAGGTGAAAAAAAGGATGCCTAAGCTAAGCAATAAGTCAGAGTCAATAGTCCTGGAAGAGTACTAATTTAAAATTATTATGTAAGCAAGAAAAAATGATAACCTAAGAAATTTTACAATAAAATCTACCACCTAAAGAATACAGATTGAAAAATGGTCAATTATGGGTGCAAACTGTTTTATCTACTCCTGCAACTAGAATTGAAGTTGTCTAATTATAACAAGAGTTAGACAAAAGGTTATTATCAAGAGGAGCCAGAGAAACTGGTATTTGCCCTATAAGAGAAGAGTTATATGAATAATGTTTTGATGAATTGATAAGATAGATTACAATCGATTGCAGTTAAAGAGGATTATTATTAGTGAAGTATGAATTTAATATTTAATAATTTTTGAGTTCGAAACGAATTTAGAAATTAATTGAATTCATACAAAACCCTATATGAAAGTTCTATTGCATATGGTATGAGAAAAATGATAGATGCTGAATAAAAAAGAACAGATAAATCAAATAAAATTATGTTTATGGATAGAGAATGCTAAGAGTTATAAAAGGCAGTCGAGGATTTAGAGTAGAAAATTTAATATACAAAAAAAGTTGAAACTGAGAAATTATAAAAAGTAACTATTTTAAATGTACTAATTAATAGGAAGCAGAAAACCATAAAAATGAAATAGAAAAAATTAGAGCATACAATAACTCTCTTAAAGATGAGTTAGGCAGATTATTAGAAGGAAGAAGATGACTAAGATATAATATATATAATCAATTAGTATATAAATATTTATATATATATACAAAAATCAAAATACAGTTTAGAATTAATCTAATGATTATTTAAAAATGTAATTTTTTCTTTTCTATAACCTATAAAATGGTTGTAATGTAGCTGTTTTATGAATGATGTAGATTAAAAAGTATAATATTATTTTCAATACAAAAATATGTTATTTGTTAACACAGGATTAAATGGAATAGATGGATTGTAATTATTTTGTGCTTTTAAAAATGAAAACAGATTGATAAAGTATTCTGGTAATAAGTAGAATTGAATAAATTTTATATGATTAAGCACAGCAGTTATTTAAAAATTATGAATAGGGTATTTTGAAATAATAGATAATATATATATCATCATAGGAACTAAGGGCAAGGGATCTCCTAACATTTAGGACCAGCGATGAAATTACTCATAGCATAGGTCTCTTGGTCACTGAATTTTCGTGATTTCTTTCTGCTTTTAGTCTAAGAAATCACTTATATCAGGTCACCATTTAAGACTACCTATAACTCACCACATGGTTCTTTTCCTTTTGGGCAGTAATACACAGGACTTAGATTTTCTAATCGTTGACTGCTATCAGTCGAACAGTTAGAATCAATATTTAATTCTTCAATGTTAGTAAGTGGTTTCTAAAATGATTAAAAATCGAAATACCTTATATTTCGAAGGTGGAGTGATATAGTATGATGGACGTTCCGTATTTTTTGGAACAAATGGACACTTAGAGCTGTTGTATGTCTAAGACTTTTTTAAAACTCTGATTTTGTTACTGCTCACTAAATTACTTTAGGTTTTTAACTTACTTTTTCGATTCTGGGGAAGTCTTTTGTTTTAAAAAGCTGGTAAGGGCTTTTTTTTAAATTTTTATTTAATTAATATTATAATATAGCCAACTGGTCTAATAAATATTCATTCATCATCCCCCATTCTGGGCTATGTATCCATTCCATTTAGACGATCTTTGTAAACTTCAAGCAAAAATTTATAATCAATCCTACCATTTTTCTTAGACCAAGAGATAAGTTAAGGCCACTGTTCATCTCTGACAACAATTCCTTATGATCTCAACATTTTATCCATCTCTTATTTAATATTCTATTTGATTTATTAATACAGTAAATACATCTTCGGTTAATGGAATTTAGCCATTCTATGTCAAATGTTTAAAGATTTCCAAAAGATATTTTCTATTTTTACCAATTGCATTAATGGTTTTATCAAACTCTTTAGAACTCTCCCAAATTCCATTTTCTAAATTTTAAGCTCGCAAAAAATACCAATATATTAAAGAGCACTTGATTTTGCAGGTGGTTTTCTGAGAAATGTTTTGAATTTATTTGCAGCATTTATCAATCCATCATCAGTCAAACCTTCAAATTATTACTATGAAGGTGCTCTTTATTTGTTCAACCAATTCTTATCAGTTTAGGCCATTAATGATTTTTAAGAATTTTTCTTAACTCTAATATTGGCACTCATGGGCCTATAATTTTGATGAAATTTAAACCTTTTCTTTTCATTAGGATTTGAGAATTTAGAAAATGCATCCATCCATTCAGTCAAATCAAGATGTCCATCTCTTCTTTTATCAATAAATTCAAATAAGTCTTTGATGATGGCAAATGGTGGAATATCTTCAGTTGCTAATCTATATAACATTTCTATCATGTCTTTAAATTTATCAAAGGTTAGAAACCCTGTGTGTTGAGCATCTATTTATCTGAAAGCATCTTTAGGGGATAATAAATAATGATAAATATGATCATTGACTCTTTACAAATGAATACCAGCTCTCTCAAGTATCTTATTATCAGCTTATCTAAAATCTAATTTCTTAGAAAATTCTTTCCAGTTCACCATACTATTTCTATCAGTATCAAGCATAGCAGATAAAATATCTACATCTTAAAAGGTTAAACCCATATTCAAACTTCTAATGACCTATCTAAATTCTAAATTTGTGATGAATCCAGTATTATCTGGATCGTATTATTTAAATAAATCATTAATATTTTTATTTGAATTTCTTAAGTATCTTCTAATTTTATCTAATAAGCTAATATTTACTTAATTTCTTTCATCCAAAGGTAATTCAGATAATCCACTAAAATAATATTCTATATAATATTACCCTTAAGTAGCTGGACGTATAGCTTATTGTTGTGATTGTCCTTCTGCTTGTTCATAGATCTTACCACTTTTTCCAAATATAAGGGCAAATGCTTAATTACTTAATGATCCATTCTTTTAAATTCTATTCCATAGAATTTCGATATCTCCTTCAACAAATCTTTTTGGAAATAATGCTTATAAGGCCTTGTAAAAGCTTTCTTTAGTAATGATATGACTATGTTCCATTTAAAAATAATGGATTGCATTTTAAATGCTTGAAAAATATGTTGATAATGCATCTTATATCTCCTTAATCATCTAATCTTACCAATTATATTGAGCAAAAGCATTTAACCAATCTGATTCAATCAAATATCCTTTTTTATGTGAATCAAGATCTGAAAATATTTCATAAACTAATTTTTCTGTTAAATCAAATCCTGCTAATACATTTTTTTCATCCATCCATTTCTTAAATTTCTAGAATACTAATTTCTTACGATATCCTGAAACAATATCAAAAGATTCTTTAACATTAGGATAATGTCTACTTATTATTAATCCTATCTATTATCTAGCATTCATCTTCCAATCAAAAGATGATCTAGATTCTTATTATTATTTTGCAGCTAAAGTTGTATTTTATCCAAATATCTATTTGTTTTTACCATAAAAGAATCCTTCTTCCACAAATCTTCTAAAATCCATTAATGTTATTTTTCCTCTTTTATATTAATCCATTAATTTGAACAATCTATTTATTTTTGCTTCAGTAATTTCTTTCTCTTCTATTTTTAAAATATCTTTCAAAAATGTTCTTAAATCAGTTTTGTTAATTTAACCATCAAAATCTTTATCAAATGTTCTAAATGCATCCTCTATAGTAATATTCTCTCTTTAACACCAATTTCTTATTTTAATTAAGATTTCTAATTCCCAATCCCAATCATCTTCTGATAATTATGGCATCTGTTAGATTATAGATTTACTCATAAACTTTAAAAAAGTATTTAAATCAATTAAACCAATTCTCTACTTATCCATAAAAGCAAAAAATCCATCTTTAGCAGGTTGACTCAAAGTCATGATTTTATCAATATTATAAAATTCACTTATTGATAAAAATCCATTATGATCAGTATCTAAAAATGTAAATAATTCTTCATATGACATTCCCTTTCTAGCTAATTTAATACGTAAGTCTTTTAAAATTTGATCAAATTTTGATTCTGGCAATTCTTCAATAGGGAAAAGACTTTTTGATTAATTCATTCCATCAACTAAAGACTAAAACATTTTCTTTTGCCCCATAGTAATTAAATCAATAGATTTTGATTAAACACAAGTTTTTTCTATTGCTGATAAAGTATCACCAAATTAAGGTTTTATTTTAAAACTTTCAGCAATTTATTCAATTTAAGATTGATCCTTTCTAATATTAAAATAAGAATATCTTTTTATGAAAATATTCATATCTTCATCACTTACAACTCCATTTCCATCTACATCCATTTCTCTACAATATTCTAAACATTCTTCATGTGGTAATTATGTAAAGATATTTTTCTCAAGATATTAAGAAGTGGATTCAATATTACATGATCCATATCCAGACTTTACTTATTATAAAAATTGAATAACAGTAAACTTTTTTTGAGTTAGATACTTACTTATTTTTTAAGCAAAATCAACAAGATCTTTTGCTGTATCCTTTTAATCCATTTATTTGTTAACATCCATTATCATTTAAATAAAATCATAATAATTTATAAGAGAATCTCTATTTTTTGGTAGATATCGTACTAATCTATTAATATCTTACACATTCAATCCCAATTAACTTTCCATTAATACAGTTTTAAAGTTAGCTGTATCAAGATTACCTTCTTGATGCTCATCAAAATATTCAAATGATTATCTAAATGTTTTTAATTTCTGAGGATTAATTAGATGATCTCTCATTTTATGTAAAGTATCTTTGAACCATGAAAGATCATATAATTTATCCTCTTCTTCAACTGTATTAAATAGTATTAAAATATCATTCATACTAATGGTTTCTTTTCCATCTAAAATTTATTTGGCTACTTTTAATGCTTTATGCTAATTTAAAGATTCATCTAAATTCATTAAAGCTAACTTCAATTATTAAAGGTTAATTGGTGGATGATCTCTATTTAAATTCATTCTTTATAATAAATCATCAGTGTGAATTTAGAATTTATAGACAACATCTTTGATATAATTCACATGAGATTCTATTCAATTAAATAAGCATTAATATATACTTTTATCTACAACAGCTTTAAGCCAATCAAATTTATCAATAAATCCATCATTATTTACATCAAGTGTTTAAAATAATGTAATAATTTGAATTTCATTTAGAGGTAACTAAATTTATGATATAGCTCTTTTAAAATCATCAAAATTCATTCTAACCTTTCTTTCACTAGTTTTTCCAAAAGCTTGTTAACATAAATCCAAAAATGACTTAAAATATTTATTTAAATTTACATCTTCTATATTTAAAGCATGATCTCGAATATAATATTTTAATCTTTCAAGAGCATATACTTTATCATTAACAGATCTTGTAAAACCTACTCTTGAATTTTACTATGTAGATGGTCTAACTTCAATCTAATAAATAAATAAAATAAATATTTACAGTTTTACTCATTAAAGGTCCTTTTTTGGATGAATATTAGGAATGCTTGGCTGTTTTAGGTCTTGTTTCTGGCAATTCAATTCCTAATGAATTTGTGAGATAATTTTTTGCATTATCATCAATTATAAAGTTATTTTCCTCTGGATGAGTACTTTTACTTAATTATTGCAAATATTATTGAGTAAGTCTCATATCTCCCTTTGATTTTCTTTCTGATAAGGGTCTTTTGGTTATTTCCTTGAATTTAGTTATATTGATTACTTTGCAGCCATCCATCAATGATTCAAGGAATTAAACAGCTGCACAATGAGCTTTCACAAAGAAAGTTCCAACACATGGAATCTCTACTTCCACTACATCTCTCTATATTTAATTGATCGCCTAAATACGTTGCGCACAATATCAGATAATGATTTTAACACTCTTTCAACAGCCATCTTAGCAGAGTCCTTATTCTATGAGGCATACAGTGCAATCTCAGCCCAATTAACAATAGCATGTTAAATTTTTCCAGATGTTTAAACTTTGTAAGGCCTTAATTATCGACCTATGGCTATGGCAGTTTTGAGATTAAAACCATTAACGAATTCCTTTGATTGTAAGTAGGGTTAAATACTTTAGCAACAAGAAAAACAGGTTAACGAGGCTATTTATCTCTATCTACTGGATTTGTTACTCCATCCAAAACTACATCTGGAGCACTAAATGAAAAAGTTCCAAACTTATTGACTGTTACTCCTCTACCCATACGCAATTGTCTTGAAATATGAAGACCTTTATAATAATGGATGAGGAAATACCAAAAGCATTCCAAGCAGCTGAAACAGTTTCCTCATCCAAAGCTTAAATCAAGGAGCCATTACTAATATTCAATTTGATCAACTTACTCAACTTATCCGTTTCGAGTGGCTATCTTAGAAATAATTGATTAAGCATTAATTGTAGCTTTACTCTAATAACTATCAATGCTATTCATTAAATTAATATAATTATTATGAAGGCTTATTTGAGATATGAAGGCATATCAAAGTAATAGTATCCTCAGTCACCACTTCAAGTAGAACCAAAACCCTTATTTACAATGATGCCTCGTCGTAAAACTGCATAAGTACCTTTTCGTCGAAGTCTGCATCAAAACAAATCACCTACAAATTTTGATCGATAATTCGTTGTTGAGGAATTGAGACTTGCCAATGCATCTCTTTAAGAGGTGAACAAAGAGTTACAACAATTGAATGAATCTTTACATGAGTAGGTTCAAAAATTGTAAGAATCAAATAAGGCCTTACAAATATAGATCAATTAAATGACCATTTAAATAGATGATCTAAAAATAAATAACAGACATTTGAGATCATAAGATAGCAGTATACATTTTCAATCCAAAGCATTTGATTAGAGGTTCAAAGTAATTGAAATTTAAGATTACAAGATCAAAATAATCATATCGTGTATCTACAGTTGCAATTAAAAAAGTTAAATGACTAATTAGAATAAAAAAGAACTTTAGAAACCAAACCAATGAAAATGCAATAATAAGCTCTTAGGGAATTAGATAGTATTTGTGTAATTTAATCACTATAAATGATAGTTAGAAATAAAGAATTATATTATTTGTAAGTTGTGTCATTAAGAACTGAAGGATCCAGTTACTGTAATTCCATGTGCTCATTCATATTGTCGTTCATGTAAGAAGGGTTACATGGGAAAATGTTTCATTTGTGGACCTGATGAATAAATTGAAGCTACTTATGCTAATATGTTGTTAATTCCAATGATTGAATTATTCAAAAAGAATTGTGAAATAAGGGAATTATTTAAATGATTTTGATATATTTTTATATTTAGATATCAATATCTGAGGGCAAGGAATGCTGCCACTCCTGCCTTAATCCAAATATCTTCTTCTTGATCTGAAGCAAATTCTAACCACATTACAAAGTTTGTAGAATGTCCTGTTGTTGAGAGGGTTCCTGCTCTTGATACTACTTTGTACCTAAAAATTAAAAATTAAATATTACAAAGGACAGTTGTAAATTCCAGTCTTAGGAACTACTCTGTTTTTTTTGGGTATTAGTTAAACAGGTGGTAAATCACTAAATAATTCTTTAGGAGTGGATTCAGAAAGTACATGTTTTTATGAATCCCATTTACATCCTTCTAAATAGCATCCATATACATAACAACCATCACTAGGTTTATCTACAATTTTAGAAATTTCTAAATCATCTCTAACTTAATATTCAAATGAAACCAGATCAACAGCAATTACATGTTTACGAGCATAATTTTAAGTAATACCTGCAATGAATGCTTATGGGAAAAAGAATCCTGAAAACCAGAATGTTGCAGGTGTTCCTCCATCAACCCATCTTTGTAAAAATGCCACTCTATCATTTAAATCTTAGGTCCATGAAGCTAATGGTTTTAATGATAAGAAACCCTTTTCTGCCCACATTTTAGGTACTTAATTATCATAAAGAGAATTAGACAATTTTTCTAAATCTTCAGACATCACAACCAATCCCTTTAATGCTTTTTTTACATTTATCAATGATTCAATCATTACTTCTAATAATCTATTATATCTCAAGACTTCTTAAACCAACACTGTATTCATACTCTCTTAATAATCAGTTGGATATTTGATGAAAATTCCATCATAATCAAAAACTGGAGGAGTCTTTCCTTAAACAAAATTAGCTAAATCCTCTATCTATTCTTCTCTAGTTTTTCCTGCAGATGAACTTGTTCTTGGTTGAACTGAAAGAATAGTTTCAAGAAGCATCATAGTTTGATTTTAAGCATTTGTGATATCAGCATTCTCATGTAATCCAAATACTTCTGGAGCAGGATTTAAAGGAAGACTTTCAATATAATTCATGTAATCAGCCTACAATCCAGAAGGAGGTGAAAAGTAAGTACCACTTTTAGAAAAAGAGAAATTATCATTTAATGCTTCTTTTTTAATGTAGGTTCTTAAAATAGTTTTGATTAATCTAACATCCTTATCATCTGTCACTCTACCTCCATAATTAATCTCACTACCCAAATAATTTAAGACTTTATAAGGGACTTCTTCATATTCATCTAATAACATAACTAATTATCTCTTGCATACATTCAAATCTTCATTAGTGAATTCATATGCAATATTCCAACCAATTGGACCAAATTTACGTCTATCTTAAATAATAGCATGGAAGAAACAGAATCCAAATATTAATTTCTTAAATATTTCTGGTTTCTTACATCCACTTTATAATTCATTATCATCTAAACGAGCATAAGATCTTAACAAATTGCTTCTCAATCCTGAAGGTGGTTCTAATGTCATTTTTACACCATTCTATAATACAGATATTGGAAATGAATTAGTTGGCATACTGGTTAACCATAATCTATAATCTTTACTTGCACTCTCATCTATATCTTCACAAATACGTTCCAATTCACTCATCCATGATGCTGCTAAATGACAATTTTATAAAAGAACCCATCCTCCTTTTTGTCTAGCTGCTCTGATCATTTTTTCAGCTTTGGGACCTTAACCTTATCCCAATGAAATTTATTCATATCTTTTAAGCATTTCTTTCTCTTCTGCAAATTTTAAGAAATCAGCCACTGGATCAGAACCAGGAGATAACACAAATATCAAAGGAGTTTGCATTGTTGAATCCTTATAGCATTTAGCTAAATCAAATAGAGGTGGAACAATAAATTGTTTTCCAATTTTATGAGATATGAAATTCTATACACATGGAATTACTTTATCAGGACGATAAGATTTTATAAAGATCAATTTTTAGAATTCATCTAATTTAGAATTCCATTCTCCAGGCAATTACATTACTTAGGGTTCAGTTGAATCATAATGTGGTTTAAACTATTCAGTATTAGTTATCCAAAATTCTTCAAATCCTTTAAAAGCTGGTAATTATGACATTCCATAAATTTATCTATACATATCTGGCCATGTGTTTTCAGCTATCCATTTAGTTGGATTCTACTTTATCTTTATATCTCCCATGGGACCAGTTAAAAGATATCTCCATTCCTCTTCATTAAGTTACTTATAACCTTAGAGAATTTTTATTGTTAACATCAAAGAGAAGAGTAATTTGTGTTTCTCGAAAAGTGATCTACATACATTCTCATATAAACTAAAAGTGAAATAATCATTCAGATTTGTCAATCTAACATCATGTTCTTTAGCAGCAGGTGCATTCTCAACTCCCATTGAGAATAAGTTCATAAACCATTATAATGAGTATTGATACATTGGATCAATTCCTGATAAGTCTACAATACAGAAGAACAATTATGATGCTCTAAATGCAACAGGTCTATAACCTTCTCTTGCTTGATCTATTTATTCTTCTGTAATTTTAGAATCAGCAACTCTTTAATTGATTTCAGCTGCAAATTTCTTACTGTTTTACAATTTATTAATTAGTGTCTCATCCATTAATACTTCATTGATATCATTAGCACCTTCAGATAGTGATTTAAGAATATCATCTTCTATTAATAATAATTATTTCTTATCTTCAGCATTCTTTCTCACAATTTAAACTTTATTAGCTTCTAATTAAGGATTTTCTAGAGCTACAATTAATGCTAACATTTAATCTTCTAATCCACTTGGAGTAATAGCAAAATTAATAATTGTAACCTTAACAAATGTCTCAGGAGGATAATGAGGATTAGGTATTGTAGTAGTAAGAAAGAATTTAAATTTATCATTAAATGATAATGTTTTTTCACCCAAAGTAATTGTAAGAGATGAACCACTTTTAACAATTTGTTATAAGAGAATAGGATCAAATGAAGGATCTAAATCTTTTCCTACATTTTCAATCAACACCTATTTACCAAATTAAACAGCCAATTCAAGAGTTCTCATTAGATTAGGGTCATTTACTTTCAATACTTCAATACCCTCAGCATGTTCCTTACCCATATTCTTAATAAATTTATTTGCCTAATTTTAAGGATCAATCATCAAAGGATATCTTCTGCTTTTATCAATAATGATACCATTTTCAATAGATGTATCATCTTTAGGTAATCCTGCAATGTTCCAAGATTATATTTTAACAGGAACTCCCAAAAATTGAACCATTGATATATGTTCAGTGTGTTTAATAGATAATTCAATTAGATTTTTTCTCCATTTATTCTCTAAACCTTATCTATAACTTGAAACAAATGGTCCTGCATAAGCAAGCATAGCTGCTGATAATAATGAATTACCTGGTATTAGAGGTTCCTATAATTGTAATTTATCAACATCAGCTGTCCATCTAGTTTTTTCATCAGATAATCCACTAGTTAATTTTTAAGCTCTAACTAATTTAATTTCACATTCTTAAATCTTTTTAGATAAATCTTCTTTTAATTTGACTTTTTCATCAAATTCTTCTTATAATCTTTTAATTTTAGCATTAACTGCATCTAATTACTCCTTTTTGACTTTGAGTAAGGCTTATTTCTAATCCACAATCATTTAAGCTTAAGCTAATTTATCTCTTAATGGTTGAGTTTACAAGAAGATTTTATTGTAATCATACATTGCTTAACACCAACTATACATATATTTAATGGCTAAACTACAAGTATTAGCTCTTTCTAATTTAAAATCTGGATCACCAATAATCTTTTATTCTAGTTTTCTAATGTAAGCTTAATTAATATTATCTCTCTTATAATCTAATAATTAATCTAAAAGTGTTTTTGTATCATTAAGTAAATATTTTTTGGCTGTGCTGAAATAATCTTCAACTTTCTTCATTCCTGTTTCATCTTTCATCATTTATATTTCTCCACCTTATTCTTTAATGAAATCTTATAATAAAATGACACAACCTCCGAGAGTGATAATAGCAGCTCTAGGAGGATTAGGTAATGATTTGACTTCTACTAAATGTTCTTTTTTCAATTTTTATACTTCAATCAATGTTGTTTCTAATATTCGATTAGCCTCAGCAACTGATTCTTCTGCTTCTCTCTTAATTTCATTAGCCTTTTTTGTTTCTATTTGAGCCTCTGCTTCTTCAACTGAAACAATTTTTTAAGTTTCATCTGCTTCTTTTTTGTCTACTTCTAATCTAGCCATGACTTTTTCAGTTTCAATAGCAGCTTCTTCTAATTTAGGTTACATATCTTTAAGTTAAATTTACATTTCTGACACTGCTTCATTTGCAGCAATAAGTTTATCTAGACCACTTTTAAGACGATTAATTTAAAATTTAAGTTCATTCTTCTTTTCATTATTAACTGTCTTAAACATAGTTATTAATTCTAAGAAACTTGTTGGTGTAACATAATTGTAACGACGTAATTATTATTAATATTAAATTGAAACTTATTCCACTGATTTATGCATAATCTTACACATTTCAACAATCTTCTCTAATTAATCACTAAAACCAAATTCTGTTGCATAATCAGTTAGTTATCCTCTTCCTACACCCACTAAGGCTTCTTCAGGCCATTCAGTAAACCAATCTATAGTACAACAATTAACAAGTGAAGGGAACATACGTAAACGAGTTTGGAATTTATCACTTAATGGAGACATAGCTAATATTAAATGGATGTTATTCTTAACTCTTGCTAAATATTAAGCAAATATATTATTAGGTGTTGGTTATAAGTTTCTCTTCAAACATTCTCCTTTACATGATGTAATAATTTCTTCCATATCTTTTTCTTAATAAAGATTTGTAACATCACCTGAATTCAATATTGAATTCATATCTTCTAACATCTATTCATTTATGATTTATGTATCCACAAAAATAAATGATACTCCTCTATTCT